TATAATACTAAACTACACAAGAGCACTCAGGGAGCATGAGCCACTAAGAATGATGAGCCATAAAGAATAGAAAGAAAGGAATGTCAAAGATAAAGGTACAAAGAATGAAGGGATGGATAAAGGGTAAGAGACCATAGAATGATACAAAGAATGAAGGGGTGGTCAAAGGAATGGAATGATGAAGTAAGGAAGGGTAGTAGCAAGAGTCAGCATGTATATAGTCCATAGACAGCACCCCTGAGGGACAGAAGTCCTGAGTTCTGGTACAGAAGGGTGCAGAACCCTTAGAACTGAAGGTACAAGAGTGGAGAACTGTAACAGGTGAGTAATATTTAATGTAAGCTCTGTTCTGAATTCAGATACAATTTTCTGTTTATTTGCCTGTCAAGCACTTTATTCCCTGGATCTGAACAGGATGATCCTTTCTTAACACAACTAGCCTCCCTACAGAGCACATCTGGTAATGACTATCATTTCTAATGTTTCTTCTTATAGTATGTATAGTTACTAAAGTTCTAAAAGTAGATACTTTGAGTTCTTAGTGTCTAGAGTAGTACCAGTCTTCCACATTCAATTGCTCTAACTGGACTGTACTGGCCATTCACTTTGCAATCTACAGTTCAAAGAATGCACAAGTAAATCTTAAAGGGGTATCAACTTTATTAATAGGATAAACTCATTACTACTCAGCTTAAGACTTAGTTGAAAACATAGTACATAACCTGTAACTTAAGGGGAAAGGTCTCCTGATATGCCACATTCAGGGCAGTAGAATGGTTTGTAGGTACACTCTTCTCTGACTTCTCTCCATGGAATTGTGTCTGTTGTGCATATTCTGATTGTTAAATACTCAGTTTGTTAGTACAAGACTTTATGTATTAATGTAGTTTACCTGTTGAATACTATATAAAATAATAACAAGAGTAAATAAGAAATATAGGGGACATAGAACAGTTCTATAATACTCACCTCAGTTCATTAGTACAAGACTGAGGTGATGTGAGCAGCAGCTGGAAGGTTTAAATATGCTGCTGCTCAATTAGGAGAATGGTCTGAATTAAAATGGAATCCATCACCAAAATGGGCAATGTTGTGTCTTCACTCATCTAATCTCAATACTGATATTTTGTTAGAGAAATGTCCTCTTACCATAGGTGCAGGAGTGAATGTAATTCACAGCAACTTGAAATACCTAAATCACTCCATCTTCATATATGCACCTTTTACTGCTCTTTCATCACTAACCACATTCCGTCCGAACAGAAGAATCTTCAAGCCATACGTTGATCAAAATACTAGTGCCGGGTCCGGGATGACGAGATACAGGCGCACCCATTAAACCTTCTCTATTTCGCTTGCACATTACATGCACAGCGTAAAGTATGAACGCTTCAACGAATATACACACTCATGCGCCGAATCACACAGCCTTTGTCTTTTCACAAGCACATGTCCAATTGCTCACCAATTAATCGTTCTCCTACGCTTGTTCCGCTACGATCCACTGTAAGTCTATCAAAATTTATCCGCTGACTATCCGAATTGCTCAGATGACGCGTATCCGTGCCTCCGCTACACGCACACTGACATGCATTCTGATGTACAGCGATGTATTTTGTGCCTAACCGAAGCGAACAAAGAATTTGAGAAGCGGAACAAAAGTAAACCGAAGCATAATCGTCAAGCTCTAGCCAAGACTGTGAGTTCTATTGAATGTATTGTATTGTATTCAATCGAGTAATGTATTGGAAGATTTAAGGTTTAGTAGATATGCTCTTTCTCCTCAAGGCAGAATATGCATGAACTATAATGGAAAGCCGCCCATACCATTGCAAGAACTTTGTGCAATCATTTAATATTTCAAAAATATCTGTTGGATGTTCATCCAAGGAACAACCAAGATGAATCTTCGCAGTCTTGCTTACACAGATCGTCGACCTTTTCATACCCAGTGGATTCTTCCGTTCGGTAAAGGATAGCCAGGACTCCGAGGCAGCAGTTTCGGCGCCCTCTATCTCCTTCATCTGGTAGATCTCCTTCTACGATTTATTTGGATTGCAGGAATAAATATTGAAATTCCCCCGCAATAAATACATATTCAATGCCTACTTGTTGACTTGGATCGATCGTTAAGAAATAGGATTTGTGTCCTATTTCCTCGGCTGAGTATTCTATTGCCCATGTCTTCATTTATTTCTTAGTGAACCGTAATAATAATAGCTACTTGTGGCTCACTGCAGCTCGCCTCAGCTACGATGGCTTGTTCATCTGCCGTCGCTCCAATTTATCCCTACTAGTATAAATCTACTGGAGACATGAATTAAATAATGATATCGATTTCTTTAAATTTGCTTCAAATGCATCAATAGAAGTTCACGGTATACTTATCCACATCATGTTCATCATGTTCACTAAATGCAAATCATAGATATCAACACTCACAATCCTTCCCGAGCTTCACGTCAGCAAGCTTAAAATGCTAGATGCCACTGAAAGGTATCAAATGTATTCCCATATTGATTCATAAACAACCCGCAGCGCGCCGATATGGAACATCTGACGAATCCGAACTTGTCAAAGAAACCGAGGAGGCAAGATTCAGTAAGGGAGATAACTGGCGTAGCCACGCAAGAGGTATACCTGACGACGTGGGAAGTCCGAAGATATACCACCAAGACGCATACAAGAAGGCGAAGGCTTCAAAGACACGTCAACACATTAATGCAAACTCCGATAATCCAGAAGTATGTACATGCTAGCTCGGAGAAAGGACTTTGTTAGGGTTTTTTTCGTTAAAGATTCCGATCCTGGATGGGAAGTATAAAACATAAAGAGCGTTACTGGATGGGCTTTTTCGATGAGATAATGAGAAGACGGGAAGTGTTGTGGCAGCAAGGTGGCGCGGTTATAGTACAAACAATAATCGAGAAAGAAACAACAATGAAGTGCTGCACAACAAAGCAGAACAACAAACAACAGAAGAAGCAAGCGGGCAACAGTAGAATATCCAAGAGAAACTGATCGGTTTTTTTAAACTTTTTTCTTCTTGAAGGGACAATATGTGAAGGGAAAGCATAGAGAGCAACAACGAAAAAAGCATTTATGGTAGCATAGAGTGTGAAACTAAATAAAGGGAGAAGACTCAACAATAGAAATTTTAGATCCATGGACGCAGCTGAATGTACATGTCCACGGTAGCGTAAGTCGCGAAAGGAAAAACAAGGTGACAAGGAATATTACAATATGCGAAAGCACCGGAAATAATCTAAGCAGGACAAAGCAATCCGAAAGCAAAGCAAAGCAAATTTAGCACAATGAATAGAGACAGGATACTCGTGCGCATGAGTCTGAGCACTACGCAAGGTACTCATCCTCCTATTTCTTCGAAGATCTTTTGGTCTGGAGGAAATACGCGACGAAACTATAACATGGGAGTGGACGAAAAAGAACCAAGTGTAAAAAATCTGCAGTAGTGACGTGATGGCGAAGATACGTGGATGGAATGTGCTGCCCCGGTGCGAATGAGAGCCTAAATCAGCTAATGCATAGAAAATAATTGTTAGTGTCGTAAGCGATTGATCCGTGTATGAGTTGGGGTGAAGATAGTGGTAGTCTTCGTCCTCTTCTTGTCTATAATAGACCTCCATTGTCGTGAGGTGCTTTCCATCACGGCACGAAAGCCTAGATTTCCACTCTTCCAACTACCCAAGCATCCAGTCACACAGATCAAACACCAACCCTCGGTCCACGCATTCAGAAGCCAGGTAGCGGCAGTGTTGCACTTAGTTTCCATACACAGTGCCAGTCTGCCACAGATAGTCTTGGTTCTGGCTCTGATTTTGCGGGCCCGCTTGGTGATGCTGATGGTGCGCTTCAGGGTGGTACCGCTCCTCCTCGTATCCGCGGAATGGTACAGCAGGCCCGACAGGCGAGTAGGGCGAGTGTGGTGAAGGAAGCGTAGTCCCGCCTTGCTGGTGTTGATGGTGCTGCGGATTATGGTAATGGCTCTGCGACTGCTGTTGGTGCGATGACGATCCGGCCATTCCACGTTGCACAGTCTGCTGCGAATGTTCATGATAATTCTGCTGGTGCGTATGCGGTGAGGGAAGCTGAGGATGGTGTTGTCGGGAAGCTGCAGAGAATGTCAAAGCCGGGCTTGGCGCAGTAGCACTCGTAGGCGAAATAGAATGCTAGTAGGTGTAGTGTCAGTCAAACTACTCTTGCACAGATACCATAAGTAGTTAAGAATGATAGTCGAGCAACGTACCAAGGATTCGTGCTGCTGATGCCTTCCGGGCGCGTGTCTTGGCGCATATGGACTGTCGCCAGCCACAGCGCTGTACATACCCGTTGATAGGTGTGTATCACCCTCTTCTTCTCTCTTCGGGATCATTCCCGCTCCTCCATTCAAGCCCGCCGTTTTGCCCTTATCAAGGTTTCCGTCGCCCTCTGCTCCATCCTGCCTTCCTGAGGTGGTCGCATTCAGCGGATACGCAAACCCACGAGTCAGATGTGGAGCACCAGCGAAGCGAGAAACCGGTGGAGGCAGCTGCAGGCCATGTGTATGCGTGTTATTAGCATGGGAGGGGACGCTAGAGCCACCGCTCCAAGGGAGCGGGGCTGGCATAGGAGTCATCTGTGGTGGCCCATGCGCGTGCGCTTGGGATTGCTGTAGAGACTGGCGTTGTGGTAGCTGAGGAGACGGCGCTTGCGGTTGCGACTGGTTGGAGGGGTACGTGTAGGCCGGAGGCGGTGTCTGATGAGCGAGCGTATGAGGGTGTGCATGATTGGTATGCGCGTTAGTAGACTGTGACTGTGGAACAGGGGGAAGCGTCAACGATGACACAGACGTGCGTCCACTTGCACTCATGATACCGTTGATGCTCGTGCTTGGGAAGCTAGCATGAATAGGTGTGTTCGCGGTACCCTTGTTAGTTGCCGTGTTGGTGTGAGGCGGTGTTCCGGTCGGGGTCTACCGTCATATAATGAAAACAAGCAGGTGCAAAAAATACAACCATGATCAGATTCATGCATCATTAAAATGAATAAAGAATGCCATCGAGAAACGCACCGAATACATTCCAATCTCTGTAGCATCTACCGTTGTTTCCTTATCAAAACCAGATCCACTTTCGCTTAGTGAACGCGAATTAGAATCACGCCTTTGTCTCTTCATGCCTACCCTATCGGGTGAGTCCATCTTGAATGCGTTGGTACCCGGTGCCATTGAGCCTGTCGACGCCGACATCGCGAATGATGGGAAAGTCGCGTTCAGCGGTGGGAGCGTGCCACCTGGTCCCTGATTTGCAGATGAACTTGAGTGCAAAGTTGTCGTGGACGCTGGCAGTGTAGAAGGGAGTGGGATGGGGGGAACCTGCACCGTAGGGGCGTACTGCTGCAGCAGACCACGCAATGTCTCAGCGTACGTCCGAAGTGCAGCACATTCAAGATCCAGTGCACGGAGACGGGCTTCTGCATTCCCCACCGAGCCATTGACATTGGATGACTGACCAAATCCGATCAGCGCATTGCCAGTCGAAGCGGAGAAGCCGTTCGGTGAGGACAACGCGAAAGCATGTGCCGTAGAACCCGATAAGGATTGATCATTCGTTCCATTGGCAGAGGCACCAGTCGCGGCATTGAATGGTGGATAGGGCGAAAGAGCCGCTTGCAGGCGTTGAACCGTTTCTTCTAGCTGCAGGAATAAAGGTAGCAGGCATCAGCATTGTCATCCAACGACTGATCGAAATGATTCGGATATATTAGTTAATTAACTGAGATTAAGGGCTTGGTAAAGGACGAGGTACGGTGGCAAGAGACAAGCTGAACCATACAGCACGGAAACGCAGATGTGATGCCAGTGCCACAGACGGAGCTTCGGTGAGACGGGTCACGGGCATCAACGTTACCAGTGTCATCGGCACCAACGTAACACTACCCTTAAATGTCAAAACTGGACATGAACCCAGATTTGGACGAAGGGCGGCGTTGCGATGGATTGGCGACGGATGACGATCCAGTGATGGGATAACGGCAGAGGATTGTTAAGAAGAAAGCGAGAGTAGGAGCAAGGCCATATACCGAGGAAACGAGAAAAAGGGCAACACACCTGCTCGATGTAAGCCTTACGCTTTGCCCGATGGCGCGCTTGTGCACGAGCGTTGCGACTGCGCTCTTGAATAGGGGGTGCTTGAGGCCTTGAGTTACCATTCACGGCATTTGTATTTTGGTGCGCGGTAGCGGCGGAGGCAGGGCCGGAGCCAGATGGGTTCGTGATGGTGGGGTTTGACGGCATTGGACCATTGGCGAGGTGGTGAGTAGGGGCCATCCTCCCTTGCAAATCGCTCGTTGCTAGAAGCGACGCGCCGGCGGGCGAACACTGAGCAGGAGCGTCGGCCAGAAGAGTGAAGACGCAGTGATAATGGACGACGAGCTAGAGAGATAGCGTTGGGATCTCCGAGGATGGGGCTCGAGCGCGGGACGCGCGATCAAGAGTCACGGGTAGTAATAATATGTATTTCACAGTATATCTGGTCGCGAAGATAAGGCAAAAGCAATATGCGGGGGCACACGCTACAATACCGACAGAAACGCAGCGCAATAGCGCTGCGCTGTGGTTGACCGCGAAGAACGATGCTCACTCTCCGACCGGCTCGACTCCGCTGTGTACTGCGAGGACGAGGGGACAGCGAGGGCTGGAGCTTGGTCTTGGGAGTGCCGTAAAGAAGGAGGGGGGGTGGTCGTAAGCGGTGGGCGTAAGATGGGAAACAACGAAAGAGGGCCCTGGGATGAATTTATACGTACGTAGCGCCCAGAGGAGGCTCACGCATCCACGCAATCGCCAGTGCACTGGAATCTGGTGACAAAGATTGATCTGGGCAGCCCCGTCAGAGCTAGTGGCCGGACTCTGTATGTGAATGTATTTGTTCTGACTTTGTGTAAATTTGGTTCCGTGGCCGTTTCTTGAGTTGCCCCTGCCCTCTTAAATTTGTCCGGTGTGTCCGAGACGCCTGCAGCGCTTGCTGCGCGCCCCTTTGTCCTTGTGTGGCCCAGAGAAATGTGACTGGGCGCGTACGCACCCCCGTCGCACTTAGCACTTCCTCACTGCAGGACAGGCTAAATGGCGTCCGAGGTGCAGGTATGGATAAAGGGAAGGGGGTGACGGAGGTTTGCAGGGTAAAAGCAGTAAATTAGCCGGATGCGGCCATGATTTTGATCGGCGTAGCTTGTGTTACGTGACCATTTCGGGTGATGGATCGGCATCACGCGAAGTTGCCTCCGGGCCCCGTTCCTAGCTCTGTCTTGTTGCTACCAAGGAGGATGAAGGATCAGATGGGAATGGGGAAATCGCCGCATGAGATTGGGCAATGTGCAATCTGCGACGTGATCGCATCTTCTTCTTGCCGTTTCTCCCACCACGCTTTCGTTCATGTTTCCGACTCTGCTACGTTCAACAAAACCCGAAGAGAAAAGTCAACAATCGGCCAAAATGACTGTAGTTCCTTTGACGTAATCCGCGCTACGTCCTGTTCGAGACCGTCTGCAATCTCCAGATTCTCCTCCGGCAGCTGTTTCCACCACCAAGATCTGGTTCGATCGCCGACGAATGCCGTGTTGAGTGCCCCACAAGCACGTGCATAGAAAGCTTCCCGCTTCATTTAATATTGGCTCGAAACACGTGCTTCTACTCTTTCCCACTTCGTTCATTTGCGTTCGTCAACCTATTTATCCCTTCAACCTCTCCGTCGTCTTCTCGCCTCCCTTGTTTCTCCCTGGTTCTCGTGCTTCTTCTCACCAGAGCCGCGAAGAGAAAGCTGCCTTCTTTCTCCTATTACACATTCTCGCCACCGGCTTCCTTCCCTTTCTCTTCAACTATCATCCTCCTCCTCCTCGTCCTCGTAAAGTATCAACCCCAAAGGCTTGCCGCGCCAGAGTCTAACAACGATCAAAGAACCGGCCTGTTGTCATATCCGCCACTTCGCAGATCTGCAAACTAAGCTTCGCTTTTCCTTTTCCCCACCTCCGCTGTGATCTTTGCCTTTTCCGGTGCTCGTCCCAACACTTTTGTTCCCCCGCTTGTGCAAAACAGAATCTTTTTTACCTATGTTACATTGCACTCCTTTTCTCCGATCAGTCCGAAGCTTTATCTCGCTTATGCACTAGCTCTCCGACTCGGCTTGACGGACTTTACCGCGATGAATGTACCGTATAACCAACAACCGCTATACAGTTGCTACTCTGTCTACTTCTTGAGTGGATCATCTCTCTCCATATTAGGCAGCATTTACCTCAAACAGGAGAAGCTTGCAACGCTGGGCTCGCTCAAAGGAACGCAATTTACTTTTTTCGCTCAAATTTGTTGCTGAACGACGACTTGGCATTACGAGTGTGCCACTGAAACTGTACACGTCATTGATCTTTAGTTTCTCTCATCTTCCTCCTCCTTGACTTCCGATCCGAAAGTTTCAGTCTGATTCTGGCAAGTGAATCGCAGAATCTATAAGGGAATATTCTTCCTTTCTGGGAAATAGACACACAATCACGGAAGGATGGATGTCGGATTACGGGAGACCAGAAGAATCGTACGCGGGGAACTCGAGGAACTCGAAGCAACGTAACGCTCGCCATCTTTGTCACCCTCAAAGTCTACTTCATATCACCTAGAGCCAAACCGAAATTCTTCAACTGCAAGTCCGATTTCGAGTGCGAAACGGCCCGTCACGGGCCTCCCTCTCGATCTTCGATCGATTGATTGTGCGCGAGCATTTCACATTGTTTATATGCATGCGTGAAGTTCCAATTTGCATTCTCAGCCACTTTAATTCCCTCTCCTCACTTTGTTCCGTCGTTCTCTCCCCACTCGATTACTTGCGAATTTCAAATAATATACTTTGCTTACATTCCCGCGTACAGAGGCTCAGATATGCAGAGTTTATTATTAGCTGGTTCTTCATTGCTTATTTTAGTTTCCCATTATTTTGTTTGGTTAGCAGGAACAAATTTGAGATCTCGATCAAGATACAATAACAAATTAGAAGGTTGTGTAGATCACTTTAATGATATTATATATATAGTTATAAAGAAGAGACATCACTCTGTAGATATTGTCTGTCAAGACAGTAATCACGCCTATCTAAGGAGTGGTAGTATTGGTGTGGCGATAAGGAAAATTATCTTTCTAGAAAGTGAGCAATAACGAGATTTATTGTTCAAATCAAATCAAATACATGTCAATTTTTCATATTTTAATGTATAGTACAGTTGCAATGATATGATAATACAAGTTCCAGAGTCATCCATGTGCCGAAACATTTTACAATGATACCAATGTGAAAGAAAGCAAATTTGAGTGGGGGAAGGAGGTTATGCCGAATATTCAAAGTGTGCAAACAAGAAAATAGTGCTATATATACCGTACATTTTTGCTCCTTATCTCAGAAGGTCAGAACTTCGTATTGTTTCGGTGCCCTTTTCTAAGCAAAACGAATCAGTATAACACATTTGACAGGAACATTTCAAGGAGTTAAAGTCTCACATTGACGAATATAACGTTATCCTCCGTGAGCATGACTCCGTCACAGCGCACCTTTTCACGGAGAATCGTCTTACGATACGGTAAACTCGTTGCCACATCGTTCTCGAAAATCCCACAATGTGAAGCCTGGAGTGTGCTTGGCTCCAAGTAATCATGCACAGTTCCCCTCGGTCCTAATAATGGACCATCCGAGACCCTTTCTCCTTTGCGATTCTCTTCGCAACCATTCAGTGCACGATCGTACCGTATCGCATCCGCGTTGAAGTCAAACACAGCAACGTGCCGCGGCGCAAAAGGTGCTATAGCGTCCTTCGGTTCCAATGCCTGAACACCCCTCGAGCCGAATACATTACACACGTAAATGCTTTCTGCGCCGGGGACGAGCATTGCACGTGCACCATATTGCATCCAGCTCTCCCACCCCACAGCGATACGCCGCGGAGGTCGGGCTTGGAAGTCGCCAAAATAAATATCTTCATTGTCGGAGTTTGCTCGTATGATTTCGGGTTCGAGGTTTGTGTCTGCCACGCGCATGAAGGGAAGGAACGTCGAGAGTGGGACGAAGAGACCCAAAGTTTGAGTCTCCGAGGCGCGGTGATCACCTATGTCATCGAACACGGTTTCCACTCGCAGAGTTATTACGAAGAGACGGTTATGTGGGGCGACTGAGAATGCTGGCGCTGGGAGCAAACTGGGGTAGTCGTCCGAAGCGTGATCAGAGAAAGGATCTGATGCAGGTTCGGCGCGTATTATAGTGTCGACAACGTCGGCATATTGCTTCATCTCTGGGAGATGGAGTTCGCAAATTGCGATGTACGATCCGGGACGACCATTTTTATGGAGAGCGGCAGTCTGATCAATATCACAGATGAGTAAACGCGGCTGGTGATCTCCATGACAGGCTGGCATGACATTGAAAGGCTGCACGGCGAATAGAAGATGTCCACTGCTAAGGAAGGCGAACGACATAATTCCACAAAATTCAATCTCCTAATAGCAATTGTGGATTCCTCGAATAGAATAAGAGAAGATGTGGACGTACGAATATGAGTTCCCCTTTCTTCCAATTATACACCACAAGCTTTTCAGGAGCATTCCCGGCAACGGCATTATGGAGTACGGCAAACCGATCGTGACAGATCTGCAAGCTATGCGATTTTGCACGAGTTCCTCCATACAGCTTGTGTACAAGTACGGCAAGCCTGGCAGCAGGATGATTCTCATTCGTCCAAAGGCTCCTTATATGCAGTTCGGCCAAACCCATGTTCTCGTTCTCCGCGCGCAACAACACCAACAAATCTTGTTTCGGATCGATAGTAAAATCGCGAATAGAAAAATCATACCCCTCGTGTGTCCATTCACGCATTTTAGAGTCGACACGCGCATTTGATGGAAGCCTTGTAAACAGTAGTTTGCGTGTTTCTTGTGCACCTGTGACCTCGTTGAACCCGGTGCGGATGCCCTGTGCGAGGACGCCCGACGCGAGTTCCCAGATGGCGCCGTTTACCTTGCGTACGGTCTGTTCACGGGCGTGACTGAAGTACTTCCAGCGTGATTGATATAGGCGGAGGCGCGCCAGACGCTCGTCAGTTGTGAAACGCGCGTGAGGGAAAGGAGATCCGTCGTCCATGCCAGCGATGCCAAGCTCGACATGATATTGCACTACTGTATGGGTCTTGATGACCTCATTTAACTCGACATTGACCTAAGAGAAGGTTAGCAAGAGGAAGGGCACGCTGCAGACTGACTGACGAGCTGGAGACGAAGAACAGAGCGCCAATCTAGCTCGAGAATGATCTTGATCAAGAGTTCCGTTGGTAGACTTGCAAAGTATGAGGGAACAAATGAATCTATGCACTGAAGAGCCATGGAGAAGGGGGGTAGAGAGGAGGATGCACTGGTTGTGCGACGGATATAAGAACGTGAGGGAGGAAGAGCGGGAGCATTGAAAGGATGCGATCGGAGAATGACGTGTGGCGAGTCGCGACTGTCGACGTGTGGCACACATCTTCTTGCTTGGTCCCGTGCTGTGTCCAGACGAGAACAACCAGAAATCTCTTCACGTCTCAAACTTCTCGGGAAATTCAGAGAAAGGAACTGCTAGTACTACATACGCTCATGAGCTCGGATATGTTTGTACATGTACAATTAGATTTTGATTGAGTTAGAATATAGCCTTTCTGACAGCCGATCGTCCACTCCTCCTCAGTCGAACGGCACGGGCCGCACCTGAGGTCCTTGCAGCCGCGGGCCCTCGCGCTTCTCAGCGGCAGCTGCCGCAAACGCAGAAGGCACCGGGATCCCGCAGCAGTCACCCCACCCCGTCTCGCGCTGGCCTGCCGCCCCCGTCTCGGCACCCCCATCTACGTGCACATGTGCGTGTCCATAGTGTGCGTCGTCCACGTCTCCTCGGTCACCGGGCACAGAAGGTCCGTCGTATGGGAGGATTGATCCGAAAAGAAAGTGCTGCATTACTGGCAGCTTTCCGAGCACCTCCGCACGGTACATCTTGAGCATCCCGGAGTTTACTTTCTCCCATGTTTTCACCTGAGCCAAGCACATGTTTTAGCCTCGGCCATCGAAGACAAACTAAAATGTCCTACCCCAGATATATCGTCAAGCATCGGAGAATGCCATCGTAATGACGCCGTTTTTATCTGCGAGCACCGTTTAGCACATGCTTGATTTGATGAGCATACTAACAAATAATAACACACGGAGTTGATAAACTTGATACATGCAAGGTACATGTAATCTTTCGCGTATTCATCCACAACTTCATTATCGTGTATGGATTTTGGTCGAAGGTATTTGTGTCCTGCAGGGGGGCATATTCAGCTTGTCCTTGACAAAGAGACACACAAACATCGATGTAGTGAACACCAATAATTCCTCTTACCCTTTAATTGCGCCGAGCCGAACAGAAACGGAAGGAAATGGTAATCATCCAAGCCCCAAACACCATGAGACCCGGCAGGCTCCAACCAGTACGAACTCTGCAGCACACGCATGACACCAATATACCTATGCGGAGTTTAAGCGCTGTGAAGCAAGAGAAGACGGTGGAATTGGACGCAATCATGAGACTTGTCTATATTACCTCCAGAACACCCGAATAACGATGGCCCTATGATCTGTCTCGCTGAAGACATTCAGTCGTTCCAAGCATATTCTGTAATGAATTATCATGTTGTATCCTAGAACGCATGCAATATGGACGCACAGCCAACATAAAAAGTTCAGCTCCATTCCGCTTCCGTAGTCAATGCGTGTTCGATTTCCCCATGCCTCATTGAAGTACACGGACACCTCCGGAGCTGCATCAGAAGGTAGTCCTGGAATTTTTTCGTGCAATGAAGGCGAGACCTAATGTAAATAAGTATACACACTAAATACAGGACGTGCAAAAGAAAAAGTAACACACCTCAGCCAGCTTGTCGTAGAATGTCCTGAAAGCAGGGTTCCCGAAGCGCGAGCCACTGTTATCTATCGGAGGCGTGTCGCGTGCCAGCTTCTCGACTTCATCAAGCACACCAAGTACAGCCGTGATGCCCTTTGCCTCATCAGCATATATCGACGTGTTTGTGGGAAAGGGATGTTGGCTTGTAAGTCTACTCACCTCGGATTCGCCACACTCATCCGTAAGTTTCACGTCAACTACTGCGTCGTTGAGTGTTTCGATGTATGATATGATTTCTTGGTATGTATTTGAGTTTTGAAAGGCATCTAGTTGTTCTTTGGACAAGATGCACTTTCTGGGAGGCGCATACGACATGTCGTGAATGTGGTCAGTGTAAGAACAGAAAAGGATTGAGATGTGGCGCGATACACGTGATGCGAAACTTCCTGTTTCGACTATTGTGCATACAATTTGATGCATGTTTTGCATTCGCAGTAGCTTTCACTAGTCTACTATCCCCAAAGCCATTTTGTATCGAGTACTGTGGAACTGCTTTTCCAGTACAAGTATACTCATGCCGGTTACACGAAAGAGGAAAATTGTCTCAGCATCCCAAGTACTGAAGTGTTTATACAGAAGTTCTGATTATCTGATTCAAACAGGCTCATCCTTCCAGTAATTCCTTTTGCCCGTACACCTCAATTTGAGTTTTGTGTAGGATCCTTTCTGAAGAGCTTAACTTCTAACTTTTCCCAGGCTTTATTTGTGACACACAGGCACTGCAAGTTATAGGGTAGAATCAGTACATAAACCTACCAAATACTATTTCTTTGCAATCTTGAAGCAAGTATCAATACCATCCGTGAGAATATACTTAATACATTTCCAGCAGTAGCTCAAAGCACATTGGGGAACATCTTATTTAACTTAACTTTAAAACTTGCTGGACAGGCAGGTGCCAAATTACAATGTCTTACAATTTCCAAACCAGATGCAATTAAACAAACCATAAATTATCCTGACCTAGCTATGACAAAGACCATTGCTTCCTGTGTATACATTATTTGTTTCCTCTTCTGTCCACATTGGGAGGGGTGGAAGTATGCAAGTATTTAATATTTTAGTCCAGACAAAATTGAAATGCCCCAGTCTCCAGAAAGCCTTTATACAGTCATTAAATACTGACGACGCGAAAATGCGCATCACAGCTCAGAGAAGTGGACTTTGCCAAACGAGTCAACGTACTTTTCTGTGGTTATTCCCCACTGGACCCATCCAAAGTCAACTAGAGAGGATTGAAGTAAATGAAATGCCTCTGAACCTACTTCTCAAAGTAGTTCTACACTACAAACATACCGTTTTAAACTGCAAGCATCCGTATTTCAGGTTTGGGTGGCCTATGAACCATGTTTTGCTCGAGAGGACGAGTGGCGAGAGTATTCTTATTTGACGATCGTGGTTACATAACATATCCCGTGTCAAGGAGGCATATCAAGATTCGTACAATTTCGTATGCCACCTATTCTGCGCAACTTGTGGAATAACTGAGCTTTGTATCAATAGCGTTCTACCTACACTGGGCCTAGCACGGAGTTTTCCAGTCTTCAACGTATGGACAGAGCTTTGCATACACGGTTGTGGCGCACTTCCTATAAGGCCATTATGGACTTTGCACATGCTGCAGTTCGAGTTTACCCTAACCCCTCACGCACCGGTAAAGTACTCATCTGATAAACGTCGATGTCATCCACACATCATGGCCACGACCGCGAGGACAGCCAGTCTAAGTCGACTTTTGGCAGGTTTAAAGATAAAGTTCTTCGCAAAGGTGACAACCATAACTCCGAGAGGGAGCATGATTCGGACAGAAACACAAAGAAGCGAGGCCATGATCATGCGGATGGACAGCAGCCCCCACCTGATGCGATAGAGGCTCAATGCCGGAAATGCGACAAGGAACATGGCGGCAAAAAGATCAAAATCGTTTATTTCGATCCGAAGACACAAATGCCAATCCGACCAACACCGGAACCTCGACAAGAATTCTGTGAAGAGTGTGGACTACCATGGCCAATGGACAAGAAGTACAATGACCGTATGACGGATAAGATCAGGAGAAGGCTAGCAAAATCCGATTACCACAAAGACGAATATGCCTTGTGCGACTACCACGCCGGATACTCCGACGAAGCCGACAAGGACAGAGATCTAGACGACGATGATGAATCAGGAAACAAGAGAGCATTGCTTGTACGTTCCTTTCTTTACCACATAATTATGATTGTTCTTACACCTTGCATAGATTGGTATCCGTTACAAAGGTATGGAGAAGGAATTGGAGAAGACAGAGGACGACATCGAAAATATGAAGAAATTCCTAAGTAATCCTGAATGCTGTCTACTCAGATGAATGTGGCTGACACTATCTTTTGAACTTCAGATGAGCATCATTACAAGAAGATTGACATTCTTATGGAGGACTGGAACAGATACAGACATCCCACGAAAGAGGATATACAAAGGTACATGGAGAGACTTGTTGAAGATGCCAAGGACGGTGACCATTTGTTCATACATTGTAAGAATTTTCTTGATTACTGTGGTTAGGCTCAGCATCTAAACTATTTCCTTCAACAGACTCCGGACATGGTAAACAAGTCGTTGACAGGGGCAAGCACGATGAAGTGGACGGAAAAGATGAAGGTCAGTAATTCTTAATAGATGTGCCGCTGTACTATGGACAATTCAATCCTCGTCAAGGTATTGTTCCTGTGGATTACAAGGTCCTACCGGAAGGGAAGGAATTCTTAATAGATGACGTAAGTGGAACCCTTTCATTTCAATAAAAATGTTCTATTCTAAGACATCTTTCTTTCTGTTGCTGTAGGAAATGCACGAGATTCTGGTTGGTTTCAGATGTTTACGAGACCGTATGGTTCACTGATCACTATTCGCCACATTGTTTCTCGTCAGGCTACAGTCAACAAAAAGATCCACTTGACGGTCAGTACAATCTTTTATTTGAGGCGAAATGCAATGATAAATAATGCAATGATAAATTGGCTGACTTTATTGCAATGTAACAGGCTGTCTTTGACGTGAGGATACACGTCCTATTTTCATTACTTTTATCATTAATATTACATTGTCATTTTCTCAGTCTTGTCACTCTGGTTCAGCCCTTGGTAAGTAATGCTACGACCAGTTCTTCCATCTTATTCATCATACTTCACGACGAATGCAGATCTACCTTACGAGGTAAGATTATTTCTTTACTTATCTTAAAAGGCGCGAATTTAAGACAATCGCATGTGTATCTAGGCGCTGATAAGGCGAGACAGTCGTGACAGAGAATTCGTTGACATTTACTCCGCCAAGACAAAGAGAAAGAGGAGTAGCAAACACAAAGCAAATATTGTAAACCAAGCCTATTATTACATTATATCTTATTCGGCACATGTCTGACTACTTTGACTAGATCCTGTGGAGCGGCTGTGATGATAAAGGCACAAGCAAGGAGACAAGAGCTAGCGGAGGTGTTATGAGCAGGGTAAGTGGAATACTCAATATACAAGAGTTAACTGGAACACTGATATCTAAAATTCTTAATAGGCATTTATCGAATCAAATCGTAAGTTTAACGTTCCGCACAACCGGACTGCACTTGACTGAACATCATTCTAAATGCGAAGGGTATCTTCACAATACATCCAAGACCGGCGATTACACTTATGCGGAGTTACTACAGTTTATACGGTGAGACAGCGCTGTTCAATAGTTCTCGTAGAAAGTGACCACTCAGAAAATTTCGGTACAGGGACAAGGTGCGAAAGCATCACCAAGTTCCTCAGCTATCAACTCTCCAAGACTTTGTACGTGCTACTAACAACCAGACAAGTATTCCTAACTGTATCTAACTTTATATTTTCAGGATCCGAATAAGGCGATTGTCCATATCTAACCTTGGTTTAGTTCACTCTTGTCCCTCAGAATATTTATCAAGGAATCTTGTCCATGTCTCTCCAATTGAAAGTCTTGAGCTGTATTGGTAACGGAAGGATAAATGCATATTGCTACTTGTACCATGCTCATATGCATATGTTAGTTCTTTTTGTTGCAGTCATATGGCACTTATTTTTGTGTATTATATTTTTTTTAAAAGTAGTATGCTTCTTCCACTTTCAAAGTATTACGGCGCAGGATCCTATCTTTCATCGCAACAGTCTTGAAACCTTTGCTATTTTGAGAGTTTTGAAAAGTCAAACAGGACGATTGTCTAACTTGAGTCTTTATTGTCCGAGAGCAAACGCAGAGAGTTGCCACATTTACGACCTGACAATTTTCTAAAGTAACTTCTATTGTTAACTGCAATCCCGGACTTAACTATGTCTGACATGTGTTTCGATTGGATGAACAGCTTGTTCATGTCGCATTAGAAACAATATGAACAGTATTATTTAAGAGCAGACAAGCGGACTGTAAAGCAACAATCTTCCGATCTACAACTACAATCTATTCTATCTTTATTTTCCCTTGGTTATCTCTTCGCTCAGGAGGAGAGTCGACATCATTTCATTAACCACATAAATGTGTACAATGTGAAGCAACTGAAGACTGAGGCCTAGTCTGTCTTCCAAGTAGAACGTGTGGCAATCACTCTGGACAAACAAGTTCCTGTCCATATGTAGCCCGCCTACTTCTCTGTACCGTAGTACTCGCGTCCGGAAGTTTGCGCTGGTATCTCCAGCTGCTTGTTTGCATGCGGCTTTGGACGATGCGTGTCTACTGCACCGATCGGGAGAGTATAACTATCAAGGTAAAATGTGCCAGTCCGCATACTACGTTACGATCATCTGTAATGCCATGTGATGGAACAACGCACCGTTCCTCGTCGCAGCCATACGCCTTGGGAGTGAGTTTGATGACGGTATGTAGAGGAATCTTAATGTAAGGTAAGTCGGCTTGCGGTAAATCGTGGAAATAGGCGTATCTGGAAAAGGTCACGTCAGCGGGTGGCAACGTTGTTTATCTAAAAGAAGACAACGTGGCCGACACTCACAAACAACGCAGGATCGCCTATAAGTATACTGATCAGAAGAAGAAGATCATGCCATGTACGTTAATGTACAGACCTGATGTCCTACAATGAGGATGTTTTCTTGTCGCTCGAGCTCCATGATGACTGGTTCAAGGCGTACGACGACGTCTCGGTATGATTCCCCTCCTGATGTAAGTCGTCAATGAAAGTGAGTCCAAGACTTATTGTTTAGCGAAATCAATCCACCTCGGTACCGATAGTTAAATTTATCGTCATCCCGTGCTTCGAAGTCTTCCGGGTATTTCTCCTATAATTGCATGATTAGATACGTCATATCACAAGATGCAGATAAGAAACGAAGCCGCGAGAACCTCGATCTCGTCGTACGTCATTCCATCGCATACACCCGCGTCAAGTTCGTCGAGGGACTTCCATGTAAGCTTCGGATATTCTAGATGTTGTGCGGTCTGGATTGTTCTCTGCAGTGTCGAGGTCCATACCTGCATAATACAAATCAGTCGATGAAGCAGTTAAATTCGATATGATGCTCACGGTAAGCGATGCATTTCCGATGTTATCCGTGATGAGCGCAGGTAAGGCCCTTGCATATTGCATACCCCTTTCCGAGAGCGGAGAGTCGCCACCAATCTTGCCTTCAATGTTGTACTGACTTTCGCCATGCTATAAATCATAGCATATTAGGCGAGTCTACGTCGAAGAGCACCATGAACGTACCCGCGTGAAGAATATACTCCTCGGCTTGATGTGCAAGTTCATCAGATAAAATGCAATACGGCTCTGAAGGTACCCATGAATATGCGAAACAGACACTTCTCGTCCAACGTTGGTGATCTTCAGGTAACTAAGCCGTGGCTCCTTCGTGTCGCTAATAGTCTCGTAAACTTTCTCATATTCACTTATGCGGCGGAGGAAGTCCGTCTTGGCAGTTTCTCGCGACATATGCGCATAGTCAGGATCTCCTGAGGAAACCTTCAATGCCACATTTGCGTCGATGATGGCCTGATCAGTGCATAAAGATTCGAGGAAAATAACTTTGATTCCTGGCTCGCGAGCGACGCGCGCGCTGATTTTTTGCCTAGCGAAGAAATAAGTTTCGATACACCGGAAGTCGGAAATGCTTACCGACGACTGACTGTGCTGTTCGTCGCATCTACATTACATCACTTTATACGTGCATTGCAATTTTTGAAGAGAGACGTGTGTTTTACCATGAATTCCGACGTTTCCACCGTCCTTAAGCCACTGAATAAGCATCTCCAAGCTGTCTTCTGCAAGCGAGTCACGTAGCTTCGTGGCCTGCTCGTTTCCATGACTGAAATAGTTCGCAGTGTGGTCCTCTTTAATCCCACTTCTACGAGTATACTATAGGTATGCTGTGCAAATTGAATACGGAATGCTACTTACTGTAATGCCTTTTGACGTGCACGGGATCGCCGCAGTTGACCAACATTGAATACCTAAGAAAATACCATTAGGAAGCAAGGCTATATTCAACATTGACTATGATACTTTGACGCTGTATTCCAACCACTGGACAGATCCAGAAAGTCAGTATCATTACAAGCCCAAGAGGCCCCATAAACATACCTTCAGATATCGCATAAGCTTATTGCTCAGATAAGACTTCCCACGAGCTGGAAGGCCAACCATTGCGAGCACTATCTTTGCTTCTGAGTAATCAGGTTTTGCAACTGGTCCGCCCCAAAACGAATATAATGTCAACGCATATAATCAATCGGAAATAAACCGCACCTTTGTTCCCGATACCTACGACTGTATGCGGAGGGGTTGGCGCCATAGCGGGAGTCCCTGCTGGTATTGGAGTTGCCTTCCTGCTGCTTCCTGATGTCTCATCGAATCGCTTTAGCCTAATGTTGAATATATCTAAGATATTTAGCAGCGATGGATAAAACTGCAGAAGACGAACATAGGATTCCCCGCGCTAAAGAAAGGTTGAGGTACCGGAGCTTCCGGACGTAGCTCTGTTGGAGACATCTTCGTTGGAAGAAAGGCGGAGCAAGCAGCGTTTTCAGAGTAGATCTAGAGTGTGTTGTAATCTTGCGCTTGGCAAACACGGTCGAGAGGATGATTATCAGCTGTACAATGGTGCCGTATGTGTTCAGTAACTAGTGCTAAGTATCATGCTCTATACTTCTAATCTTTGATTCGGAAGCTTTGCCTCTAAAGCAATGAGAGTGGCAAAGGGATGGAAGAGCTGGTCGAGGCGAGGCGACGGTGCCCGATGGGATGAAGCAGAAATTGACCGCCGGAACCGCATTGTTACCGCAAGTGGCCGGAATGGCCCGCATCCTCGTTTGGTCAGCAGACTCAGCAATAGGTGTCAGTCATCATCATCCGCGACCATGAGCAACCCTCTTCGACTTAGTTCGCCACAAGAATACACAAAGCTACTGGAAAAGTTCGACACATGGCTGTTTGACTGTGATGGGGTTCTCTGGCGTGGCAACACTCTCATAGAAGGCGCCCTTGAGTTTCTCCAGCTTTTACGTTCCAAAAGTCTGTCCGTCCATCCTATTTACTTGTTGGCATCTCACACCGGTTCTAATCGTCATCGAAAATTGCAGAGAAAAGTGTCATATTTGTGACAAATAACGCAACAAACTCGCGTGCCAGTTACAAGAAGAAATTTGACAAGCTCGGTATCGAAGCTCATGTTGTATGATGCGCACGCCGTCAGATTACTATGAGCTCATATACAGATGAATATAGGACGAGATCTTTGGCTCAGCGTATGCTGCAGCAGTCTATTTATCGACAGTGATTAAATTCCCGAGGGACAAGAAGGTCTTTGTCATTGGAATGAGTGGTCTTGAAGAAGAGCTGCGAGACGAAGGGGTCGCTTACGTCGGTGGAACAGTATGTTGGTGTCAGTCCTATCTTGTTGCTCATCCTTATTTGCCTTTCGCATCTTCTCCCTAGGATGCTGAGAGTAACACCCTTGAACCATTCGTTCCTACGTCCTACGTACCGGATCCGTCCATAGGTGCCGTACTCTGCGGCCTAGACATGTCGATTAATTACACAAAGCTCAGCAAGGCATTCATTCAATTGAACACCGATCCGTCTTGCTTATTCCTCGCTACGAACGAGGACTCGACGTACCCGGCACAAGGTGGCGTGCTACTTCCGGGTGCGGGCGCGATTAACGCACCGTTACGTTTCGCTCTTGGAAGAGACCCTCTGAGCCTTGGAAAGCCGTCGCAGATTATGCTTGATTGTATCAAAGCGAAGTAGGTGTTTAATCTCTGTTGTATGTTATGATAGCTATTCTAAATGCTGTAAAGACACGACTTCGATCCTGAACGAACAATAATGGTTGGCGATCGTCTCAACACCGATATTCTCTTCGGGAAGCAGGGTGGCGTATCTACTCTTCTTGTCCTCACAGGTAGTGCATTCATCCGTTCAGGCTGATCTAATATCTGAAACCCCATTCTTTTCAATGCCTCAATTCTGGATACTAATGCACCTTGAACGGCGTCAGGCATATCGAAAGAGACCGACCTATTACCGGGGGCGTCACCTCCTGCAATTCCCGATTACGTAACGAATTCTATCAGCGACCTGATGCATGCTGAGAGTGTATTGAGTGCATGAGAAGAATCCGTGGATGCATTGTATATCGGAGAATGTGGCCAGTCAATTCTGGACATCTCCTTGACGATCGACGCAGCCTAGAAGAAACACAGACGAGCTTGTATTATCAGAGTGTTAAAATTTTTAGATTAATACATTTTGTTTGTAGAAATACGTAGACTTTGCTGTACTCGTAGACTCCGCAACAGTGCATGGTCTCGCGCTATATCATATATGGCAGTTTGTTACTTGATTACTATAACAGACTTCGCTGGATTGTTTGGTCTCGCTTGGATAACGACTGAAACGCAAGCCACGAAGCTATTCATTCTTGCTTCGATTTTCTTAACCATTGCTACCTGTTATCTCATTTCGAGTCTTGCAAACCATACAAACCTTAGAACCGTCATATATGTCCTGCTCTCGCAAGCCGCCCCATCAGCTATCCTCAGAAAAAGACTACGCAGAATTGCTCGAAAAGTTTGATACTTGGCTCTTTGACTGCGATGGTGTTCTCTGGCATGGAATGACCCTTATCGATGGTGCTCTGGAAGTGCTTCAGCTTTTGCGTGCTAAAAGTCTGTCGTGTTCACTCTCTTCCGGAGCTTTATTTCACTTTGCAAGTCTCTCGCCACATCCTGTTCTGATTCTGACGAAGTTTCTTGTTTTTACGCGCATATATGCTGTGAAATCGACTTTGGGCTGTAGAAAAGAAAATCATTTTCGTTACGAACAATGCAAGCACTTCGCGATCGAATTACATGAAGAAGTTCAATCAGCTTGGTATTGAGGCTCACCTTGTACGCACAAATTCTATGGCCCGTGGCATTGATAAATACTGATGCTCGCGTTCCTACCGCCATACCTTCTGCTCTATGGGGCATATTGACGATTGGCGCGATAAAGGATGAGATATTTGGTTCGGCTTACGCTGCTGCTGTTTACCTATCCTCTGTTGTCAAGTTTCCAAAGGACAAGAAAGTCTTCCTCATTGGAATGGAAGGCCTTGAAGAAGAACTGCGTAATGAGGGTATCACTTTCGTCTGTGGCACGGTGCGTCGACTTTTTCCATTTATTTGTATAACATAAAATTACACTTGGTGAGCTCGTGTTCAGGACCCGAAGTACAATTCCCTCTCGCCGCTCGCCACACCCCCACGTCCCGACCCATCAATCGGCACCATCCTCTGCGGCTTTGATTACGCCATCAATTACACTAAGCTTAGCGCGGCGTTTGTTCAGCTCGATGCTGATCCATCGTGTCTATTCGTTGTGACGAATGAAGACCCAACCGCCCCATCAGAAGGAGGAGTCCTCTTGCCCGCTGGGGGTGCAATCAGTGCACCGTTGAGGTATGCACTGGGAAAGGATCCAGTGTGCGTTGGGAAGCCAAGTTTAGTTATGTTGGATTGTATCAAGGCGAAGTGAGTTTTCGTCATTCAGTTTGGGTTTGCCCACTATCCAGCTACCCTATTCTTTCGCGTCTTCGGTATTGCTTATTTATTCTTTTTGTTTATCTATACACAGGCATGAGTTTGATCCGAGTCGAACGATCATAGCCGGAGACCGCCTCAGTACAGACATCCTATTTGGAAAGCGATGTGAACTAGCCACGCTTCTGGTCCTTACAGGTAAATTTTCAAATGTCGGATCGTGCATGTGTTCTTACATCTCTTGTTTAGGCGTCAACAAAGAATCTGACCTCCTTCCACAGGCGTCTCCTTGCGCGATACCAGATTTTGTTACTCAGTCCATTGGTGATTTGCTACAGGCCGCGAAGATATAAAGTGTTGGGTGCAATATATCATTATTATGCATATTAGAGCAGTGACGTGTCATGTGTTTATTATTTACTTCGTCTAATGGAGACTTTGCAGTCGGATAAAGTAATTCTGACTGTGATCCTTTGCAATTACGTGAAACTTATTATTAACATGCAAATGACACTAATACATAGCAATAACAGTTACTTATAACAAAATACGATAAATCATTCCGCTCCATATACATGTGTTTTACCAGCTACTCGTCCGACAACAAATCTAAACATACACTCTGTCTACTTCAATGTCCTACAAATCGAATTACTCAGTATCCCTACCAGCGATATTCTTCAAAGGCGTAAACAAAAGACTCACAAGTGGCTTGGTTGAGGAAAGCTGCGGTACTTGATTTTTCTGCCGCAGAAGTTCTCTACAATGAAGTAGGAAAGGTAAGGGGATCAAAAAGTAGATTAGAGAGCTTCCGAGGTAGTATTTGGACGAGGCAGAGGAAATACGAACCGGACTTCGTCTAGTAATTCTTCGTAGGTGTATTCGACCGTCTTTCGAGTGCTCTTATGAGACGTTTGACGGGTTTGCGTTTTTTCATCTTGGGTATTTCGAAGAAGTTTCCCTATGAACATCGGTCATATCAATCATTAATGTAACGATAGAGAGTTTAAAAAATGGTCCTTACAGTTCGCTGCAATGAATGCCTATGTAGGGAAAAAATCCATATAAACCGTAAGAAAGAAGTCGTTTTAGAATGAGGCGTCTACAGCTTACACTACTCATGGCGCCTACTGCCTTCCCATGAACCTTCGTGTCTTTACTCGTCTGTGTATCTTCGCATCCACTCCACAGGATCTGTTAAAATCGGAGAGATAGGGTATAAAGGACTACAATTTTGATTATACCGGAGCACGGTGGACTACTTACGACTCTTCCGCGATACTTGAGGTCTCTAAGCTTCCGAGGTGCGACTTTTTCCACGGCACGGTCCGTGAGCTGTAATTTAAATTTTAAGGTGAAGGCTCAGGAGGCATGTCAGATGGATATAGCTCGATAGACATACCGCGTAAGGAAGATCTACATTCGAGACAGAAATGAAGATATCAGTACAATTCTAGTACAAAATAGAAGTCGTCTTACCGAGGACAGAACCTGAATGACACGACTGGTGATTGCAATCGCGATACACCCATGGTCAATGTCTATACATTTAATAAAAAGGGGGATTTGGAACATACGTCAAAGAGTGCCTATAATTCGTATGTAAATGCGAGAGCGTGATCAGCGTCTTATTTGATACACTTAAAGGGATGTGGAAGTCAACTGACAGTAAGATGTACACCGTCAGGTATCTTTGCCTAAGAACAAATATATTGCATTTAACATCTTTTAGATTTCGCTCTGATAGAGGACGCCATACCAATTTATCGTGTAGAATCTTCACCAAATATCAGTCAGTTTGTCCTGAGCTGACAGTATCGGTGTTTAACTCACATCATCGATCAAGATACCCTTCGGTTTGCTCGTCTCATAATCCACTGGATATATGCCTATTGGAAAACCGCGTTTGAGGTTGACAAGTCAGTCAGTTGGTTGGCACACTCGGTGCAATGGAAGCGAATGAGGTTAAGAACGGACCTTCGTCTTTTCCATCGGCTTCGTCGCCTTTCCCCTTATGCCCAGTGATTGTTTCTGACGACGTCTCTAGATGAGTACATTCCTTTCGCCAAGTGAATGGACTGACCTTTAATGATCTCTAAAGGCCCATTTGGAGGCTCGTCAGCTGTCTGGCCTCCATGTCCCGAATCTGATTTGTAGCAAAAGAAAACGAAATTCAGTAAATTGCATTAGGATTGGAGTTGCAATATTCTTACAATGAAAGAACAGAGAATCGCCTTCCTTGACACCTTCGACAAGCTTCGTCATATGATTCAGGATATTCTTTCTAGAGGGAGTTGGGAAGGGTTCCTTGTCGAGTAGGATGTCAATGTTCTCGTCTTTGTAACCATTGTTCTCTTCATTTTTTTCAAGGAATGGATTTTAATATATAATAATGAGCAAAAAGAACAGGAAGAAGTGGAACAGCTGCACTCACTCAAGTAGAAGTACATGTTTTTTACGTCATTCCTGCACCCTCTTAACTCATTCTTCTGCCCGGAATAGTTGATGCCGATCTGAAAAGAACCACGTAGTCATCGTAAAGAACAGTATTCTTTGATATCTCAATTAGAACAAGAGAAAGAGAACCCACAAGCAATGCCTTCTTCCTTCCCGGAGGTCGATTCGGATCGCTGGGGAATAGAACGGGTTCTTTGTCTTGCTCGTCTCTATAAAAGTACAACTTCTTGCACCAGTGACCGTCTCGCCAAACTCCATCTTCGTCATCCTCATTAGCTTTAACACCTCGTGCATCACTTTGACTTTTCTCGTCTCCCCGACTTTTTCTATCTTTCCTATCGTTATTCCGGTCAGTAGTCTGTGTTCCGTGATCCGTTTGCCGTGGCTCATTCGTATGCCGTGGCTCATTCGTGTGCCGTGGCTCATCCCCAGCGGCACACTTCTCACATACTTCATCTCGCAGTGTTTCTTTGATATTGGCTATCATACGCGGCGTGAGCGGCTTCCCCTTCGGCCATGGCAGGCCACACACGTAGCAAAATACTGTCCCCAGATTGACCTTGATCCAATCACCACATATGGTACAAGCTACTTCGATCACAAAAGGTTGCTGAGTCTTAGATGAGTGTGTTGATGGTGCTTTCCGAATGCGGGTGGAAGAACGTGTACTACTTGGTAGGGAAGCGTCATGCTTGATGTCGCTGTGTGGAGGTGAGTCTCTCGACCTGGTTCGGATGCGGGTGCGTGATCTCTCCGTCCTACTCGTGCTCTTACTGCGTCGGAATGTGAGACTAACTTGACTTGTTTTGTCCTCCAACGAGTCGGATTCAACGTCGTCGAGTGGAGGTGAATCTCTTGACCTGGTTCGGATGCGGGTGCGTGATCTCCTCGTCCTACTCGCGCTTGTACTGCGCCGGAATGTGAAACTAACGCGACTTGTTTTGTCCTCCGACGAGTCGGATTCAATGTCGTCGAGTGGAGGTGAATCTCTTGACCTGGTTCGGATGCGGGTGCGTGACCTCCTCGTCCTACTCGTGCTTTTACTACGTCGGAATGTGAGACTAACGCGACTCGTTTTGTCCTTTGGCGGGTCGTGCTTGATTTCGCTGCGTGGAGGTGAGTCTCTCGACCTTGTTCGGATGCGGGAGCGTGGCCTCGCCCTACTCGTGCTTTTGCTATGTCGGAATGTGAGACTAACGCGACTTGTTTTCTCCTTTGGCGAGTTGTGCTTAATATCGCTGCGTGGAGGTGAGTCTCTCGACCTTGTTCGGATGCGGGAGCGTGGCCTCGCCCTACTCGTGCTTCTACTGCGTCGGAATGTGAGATTAACGCGACTTGTTTTGTTCTCTGATGAGTCCTGCTTAATGTCGCTGTGCGGAGGTGAGTCACTTGACCTGGTTCGGATGCGAGAGCGAGATCTTCCCCGACTCGTGCTTTTGCTATGTCGGAATGTGAGACTAACGCGACTTGTTTTCTCCTTTGGCGAGTTGTGCTTGATATCGCTGCGTGGAGGCGAGTCTCTTGACCTGGTCCGGATGCGAGAGTGTGATCTTCCCCTACTCCTGCTTTTACTATGCCGAAACGTTAAGCTAAAGCGTCTTGTTTTTTCCTCCTCCGAGTCGGATTCAATGTCGTCGCGTGGAGGCGAGTCTCTTGATCTGGTTCGGACGCGAGAGCGTGATCTTCTAGTTCTGCTTCTACTACGTCGGAATGTAAAACTAAAGCGTCGCTTCGTTTCTTCTCCTGACGGGTCTGATTCCATTGAACTACAAGGTCATTGTCAGTTTCTAGAGTCACATACTCAGTAAAAAGGTGCTGAGATAGTTACTCTGAGTCTGAACTGTCCAATTCTACGCCGCTATCATTTTCATGCCATGATTTTCTCCGATCTGTATTCCCTCTTAGCTTGTTTGTTATATCGTGAAGCCTGTCTTTTAAATGCCTGCTTTGATCTGGAGTCCTGTTTGTGGCGCGTTCACTTGGCTCAACTGTGCGGGACTTGTCTTCTGCTCGTCGTCCATTTGCACTGTGCCCTACAAGTGAATAGAGCCAAATTCAGGACAATCGTCGTTGACCTCGAGTCCGTGCGATTAAAAAATTGTCACTTACCTTCAGATGCTTCTCTGCCTATGCTTTCTCGCAAACGAGGTTCTGTAGCATTGCCGGACGAGGGTGAGCCCTTCTTCCGCCGCCGTTCTTCCGAGTTGTGCTCCTCGTGTTTTGTACTTATCTTAATACTTCTAGTAGAGCTCTCTACGCTTGTTTTGCGGCTACCCTCAACTCCTCCACCAGTCTTACGGGATGATTCTTCTCGCCCCGTCCTCGACGTGTCTCTGCTATCCTGTCTTGTATTCGACGTTCCTTTGGAAGGTTGCTTAGTTTCTGTCTCCTTTCTCCACGCTTCACTCCCTGGCATTTTAAATTTCACCCTTTTAGTGGCACCAGAAATCCCACTCTCCTTAGATGATGGTTCTTCACGTTGTACCTTATCTTCAGATTTCCTTGGTATTTGGATATCCGAATCAAGATCTACCGCTCCATGGCCCTCACCATCTCCACTAAACCTGTCTTTTACCTTGTGCAAGATTGACTTGAGTCCTATCTTCTCATGATGTTGACCGTCCCCTGCTTTGATGTAGATATTCAGTTATCCGGAGAGCAATTGTCATAGTGGAGCAAGTATCTAAGCCAACTTACCCCGTGTTTTCTCCACATTCCCTTTCGAAGACTGACCCGACTCATTCCGACCGGTCTTGTCAGCCCTCGATGTGGTACGGCCATCTTGTGCGCGAGCTACAAAGTATATAGTACGTGTCAGAACAGGAGACAAATCAAAATGTTCCAGCGTACAATCTCCTTGGCGAGAAGACTTGTGTCCATCCCTCCGTTCAGGCGAGTGTGTGCCATGGTCGATGGCCATGGCAGGGTGTGTGTTGCTAGTTCAACAGGACACAGACTGACGCACACATGTATGGTGCAAAGTAGATACGACACGCCTTAGAAGACATCTGGCTCGATAAAGTCCTCGCCACGAAACGCCATGCAAATTTTATACTAGCGCAGTACGCTGAAATAACCGGAACGACCATTGGGTTTCGGATTCTGCAGTACTTTCATTTGCTATAAAAATCCCTGTCACGCATTTTGAGGCAGTAAAAGGAGAGACATTATGGATATATGATGAATAGAGCCTTGTGCAGACAGAACAAGAGACAGCAGCTGTGGCAACCAGCTCGCCACGGATGTTGTGTTGAGGAGACCTTCCCCTCCCTTAGAGAGCCTGCAACATAGACTACTTGGGCAGTCCAAGCAGATACAATAGACATGTAAAAAAGCGAAAACAGACAAGAGCGAGCACGGGACCGCGTCTTACAAGCGGCGATCTGCAACTCAGTCTGGTGTCGCCCTTGGTCAACAACGTCGACGACAACGACGACGATGGACTCAGATCCATCCCAGTCCGTCCTTGTCTTTCTCTCCTACGCATTATCCCTTCTCGAGGATGCCTTCTTCAAGATCCCAGGCTCCGCAGTAGTCGCCCGCTACGTCAGGTCCTCCCACCAGAACGACCCTGGGCGCACAGTCCTTGAGCTTATTCTCTTCCTCTTCGCCATCCGTACCCTGCTCCAGAGCCGGACTAGAAATGATAAAAATTTCGTCAAGTACACCGAAGAGGTAGACCCGGGTATCGCATGTCGAATTAATATGTGAAAACTGACTTGTCATTCATTAGGAAATCGACGAGCTGGTTGATGAGTGGAACCCGGAGCCTCTCGCTGTTCCGCTCGATACAACCGAGCAGAGCGACTTCGATGCCGTTCCAGTCATCCAGGGTGCCAATGGTCCCAAGCCCAGGCTCCTCAGTACAGGGAAAACCGTCATCAACCTCGCGAGCTTTAACTTTGCGGGCCTTGCTGGCAACGAACATATCAAAGAACGCGCTATCGAGACTCTGCGTAAATACGGTTTAGGAAGCTGCAGTCCGCCCGGATTTTATGGCTCTCTTGGTAAGAAATTTCGTGCAATACACCTCTTGATTTTTTTCTGAGCGCGTTTCTTTTTCTAGACGTACACACTCAACTTGAACGGGACATAGCTGATTTTCTTGGAACGGAAGACTGCATTCTCTACTCTCAGGACTTTTCGACACCGGCCTCCGTCATCGGAGCGTTCTGCAAACGTGGCGATATCATTGTCGCCGACCGAGGTATAAATTTTGCTCTTCAAAAGGGCTTGCAAATCTCTCGGTCGACGGTCCGTTGGTATGATCATAACGACCTCAAAAGCCTCGAGGATGTCTTGCAAGGCGTTGAGAAGGAAAGGAGGAAGAAGAAATTACCTCTCACTAGGCGATTTATTGTTACGGAGGGTATCTTTGAATTTGATGGTGCTCTTCTTGATTTACCCAAAGTCGTGCGTGTCATCACATTTATGTTTTCGACTCATTATGCTTGACTCAGCATGTCGTTGATTTTCTCCCACCGATACGTGACATTTAGATCGAACTAAAAGAGAAGTACAAATTCCGTCTTGTCGTTGACGAATCTTTCTCTTTCGGCTCGGTTGGTCGAACTGGTCGTGGCCTGACAGAACTGTACAATGTACCAGCTTCTTCCGTCGACATCATTATCGGTTCAATCGCAAAGTCCCTCTGTTCCTCAGGAGCTTTCTGCGCCGCCTCGCGCATCATAACGGAACACCAACGGATCAATGGCACATCCTTTGTCTTCTCCGCTGCCATGCCTCCGCTTCTCGCTGTTGCTGCCTCAGAAGGGATTGGAATTCTGCGAGATTCGCCAAGCGTGATGGCGACGTTACAGGAAAACGTCAGGGTCATTAGGATGGTATTAGAGAGAGTTGAAGGGATTGTTTTGACAAGTCATTCTGCCAGTCCGACGATACACATTACAATCAAACCTCCCTCCGCATCTCAACTTCTCCCTCCGCCCGTGGACATCTTCTCCCCATCAACTAATAATCCAGGGGCAGCCGGATCAGGGAAAAGCAATCCCAACTCCCCTCTTCCCATCAATCCACCCAAATTCAACGCACATGAAGAAGAGCGTGTCCTCCAAGCCATCGTTGAGGAATGTCTTGTACAGGGTGTGATGCTTACCCGTGCGAAACACCTTCGGGGACAGGAGCTGGTGGAGCCGAGGCCGAGTATCAGAATTTCCGTCACGAGTGCGTTGACGAAGAAAGAATGTGAAAAAGCCGCGGGAATTGTCAAGGGAGTCATTGGGAAGGTCTTGGGTAAGAGACGATAGAGAAAAGGTGGATTTCCTGATTGGACCAGACGTGCTTTTAGTTGTTGAGTTTTTGGTTATTTCAAGGAGTAGCTATTGTAAAATTTATTTTTGGTTAATCCGACTTAGAGTCCTTTCCTTTATACGTTCCAGCTCAACTTATGTCGACGGAGTGGTCTGTAAATAATTCCCCTCCTCGTGTGGCGCAATTGCTGCTCCCGTGCGCCGAACTATGCAACATCCACATCGAGGCTAAATTACTGGGCGCAAACCTGGAACTGCTTTAGGTAGTGGTATTTTGATCGTTGCTAGCCGTATGTGCAAAGATCCCCGTTTGGTGCTGGTTGAATAGGTCGTCCTCTGCGTCATAAAGACCTATAAAGGCTTGCCGTAATTTGCAACAGTGGCCCAAAGTCTATCTGACTTACGTATTATCGTCTGCTCCCAGTCATGGTGCGCATAGTAGAAGATTACGACCCGCAACCAGATTTGGATAATCTCAAACCTCTTGACCATCATATCCGCAGTCAGGATACCAGATGGAGAGATTCTATTCCGCAGTTGTGGCCTTGGAGAAGGCTTGGTCGAGGAAATTTCGCGAGAGTCTGGGTGCGTCCTGAGTTTCATTCCATTCTGCTTGACTACGATTTCTTGCTCCGCCACGCCTTGGCCTCCCTCATCAATGTCATTTCGTGTTCTTTATCGGCTAACTTACTTTGCAGTCGGTCAAGCGACCTGATATCAGGGATGAATCCGGAGAAGAAATTGAGTTTGCTGTGAAAGTAGTAAGGAAACCGAGGGATGATGCACAAAGACGCATCAACGGGAGGGTTGTGAGAAATGAAGCCTCGCTCATGAGTAGCCTCGATCATCCGCATATTGTACGCCTTTCCATTTTGCATTAATATTTAGTAGAAACGTCTTACAAGCCGCGGTTTACAAGCTTAAATTTATCGGTGTTTTCCATAATGATGACTTTTGGATTACGGTGCTTGAGCTCGCGGATCGAGGATCTCTTGATGACCATCTTAGGTATCCGAACAAGAGCCAGTTCAAGGAAGAAAAGGCAAAATACTATTTAAGGTATCGGCCTAACATATCTTAGAGAGGGAAGGATTACTTTAATTAAAGAGATTAGGCAGGTCTTGAAAGCCCTTATTTACCTTCACTCGCGCAATATCATACATAGAGACTTGAGGTAAGCGTTAAGTAATGTCCTTAGTACTCGACCTAACTATCCCTCGATATCACCTTTCAGACCAGAAAACTGCTTGCTAAAAACCTTGAGGAGTAATTCCGGTTCTTCGCCAAGTGCTGAAGGAGGTGAAACTCTTGTCTTGAGCGACTTCGACTGGTGATTCGCAAACTTGTCCCTCGTTTATGCACTCATTTAATGAGGGACCCTTTAGGGCAATCATAACTAAGGATGATGGTAAGGCTGACGGACTTGCAGGAGATGAAAGTTATCACGCGCCCGAAGTATACAAGGGCGAGTACACAAACAAAGTTGATATATGGGCTCTAGCGTAAATTGGGTTGGCATTTTTACTTGCCGCATCGAGAACGCTGAACTTTTTTTTGGGTTTCCCTCCCGCCGCTCTTCGCCTTTTCTAGGGCTCTCATCAGTAAACTACTAACTGGATTTACTATTTATGATCGTATTGATTATAACAGGGTAGTAAAGGTGAAAGTACCGAATGAAGACGGGACTGACTCCGAGAAATATGAGAACAATTTAACTAATGAGATGATTGAAGAGAAGGTGTATCCTGGCATTGATCGAAGAGGTATATCTAAGCTTGGTAAATTAATAAAATCTACTTTAGACTATTGATAACGGACTAAAAAATTCGCTGGACAAAGCGAAGGATTGTTTCCGCGCGTGTGCAGAAGTGGATCCTGCCAAAAGACCATCTGCAGTGCGTACACTGGAACATGATGTGAGTCGTGACTTTAGAATATAGCATCCTTTATTGTCAGTGGACTCACTTATGTTGAATTATCAACCCAGTGGTTTGGGGAATCTGAGAACGGAGAGCCCACTGCCGTCAGATCGGGCACTGCCTCTGAAAGGAGGGGGTCGGTTTCGTCTCCAGACAACCCGCAGAGGCAAACAAAGCATCAGCAGGTAGCTAATGGTATTGTAAGAACTAGTAGTAGAAAAGAAGGTTCACCTATGAAAGAGGGACATGGGAGCTCACGTGGTGGAACAAGAGGCTCGGATGGAAGAGGGGAGCGAGAATCGTCACATAGGAAACATGGAAGTAGAAGCCCAGGAGACAATGCAAGCAAGTCCAACAGAGAACCAGCAAAGAAATAGTACTAGTATAAGCCGAATATTTCCAAGTAACCTTGAGCTGAGTGTGGACACAAAATTTTTGTATACCGAGTAACCCTGCTATCTGGACAATAGTTTCCATCTCATACCTTATTATTCACGAGCCTCTGTTACTTATATGAAATATATCTATCTGTTAAAAATGAATGAGAACAAAACAAATGCGAGAACAACGAGAGACTAGTTTTAGATCGGTCGGTCCTCGCTCGGCGTTCGAGAGATGACCAGCCACAGGAGTGGGCGGAGCAACTTTATTGACGATAGCGAAGTGGAGAATAGCAAATAAGGTCCGAGGAGACGAGCCAAGCAGTGTCGTTATCATATAATATTTATACTAAGGAAATGAGAGTGACGTCGGTTGTGGGTGTACTAGAGTGCATTGTGTTGAGTCCGAAGATCAAGGGAAATGAAAAATTAAACGAAAAAATAAAAGAGAGCATCATGCAGAAAAAGTTATCCCTTACAATATTAATGTCTCTACTATTCAAGTCCGATCGCATAGCAGTGCCACAAACAAAACGAACTAAATCAAGAGAAGGCATGGTCCAGCGTTCAAAGTCCCGTCACTTCACGAACAAAGAAAGGGAAGGGATTCATGACTGCGAAAGAATAACCCGGTCAATAGCAGTATTGATCACACCCTTCCTCGCGCTCAAGTCCACTCCTCCGAACATCCCTTCCAATCGCTGCCTCACCTGCTTCTTTGTAATCGTGTTGAAGTCGGCGCCCTGCAGCACCTCCTCGACAGCTCGCACAAGCTCAGCATCAGTTGGTCCCGTCCCGAACTGGGCCGTCGCGCCAAAGAAGTCCGAGTCTTCTGGGCTTCGAGTCTGGGGGATCGGCATGTCGAGGTAGTTCGTGACTGGTCGAGACGGCGTAGGCTGTTGCAGTCCACCCATGCTACCCATACTATTCATACCACCCGTACCCATGCCTCCACCCATATCACTCATAGTTCGGAACGGTGAAGCCGAAAACCCACCGCCAATCGGCGTGTTTCTTCCAGACTGATACCCAGGCGGTGGATACACCTGCTGCATGTTCTGGAACTGCGATGGTACCGGAGAGTAACTTCGCTGTTGATGCTGCGGCTCGTAATATGTTTCGCGACCATACAGTGATGCCGTACGTGACTCAGCATATCCTTCATTCTTGATTTTTGCAGGCGGTACCCATGAGCCAATACTGTGGTTTGATTCCTTGTCCCATAGTTCGTTCTCGTATTCACTCCACGACTTTAGAGGAATGCAACGTGGGTCGAATTTGCCTTCGTCCTAATAATTTATATTAGGAATTGTAGATGTATTCGAGAGTATGCGAAAGAACTTACGTGGACAATCATTTTCTTACCCTTTTCGCCCAATACGACACGTGTAGCACCCCACGAGAAATCGTCCATTTTCCAGAACGAATAAAGAGGTAGCGCGAATGAAAAGACCGGAATGGCCAGGATATAGAATACCATCCATCCAATCATGTCCCACTTCCGACGGAATAGGAAGATAAGTGCCTGTAGACCGTAGATAGCGGCCAACATGATAATGGACCATTGCGGGACCGAATCTCCCCTAGCGGCAATGAGATAGATCAAATACACGATCTGGAGGCCACAATTACGTCAGTTGAAATACTTGTGCTTGGCGGTTTTGACAGTATAACTTACATAGGCCACAGTCACTGGCTGAATGATTGTAGATACCAAATCGATAAACACAACAAATCGCATCGAGAAACAGCAGAATCCACAAAGCCTGTCAAGAAATACAAGCTCTCCCAAGTTATGTACAGTCGAGTTAATCCAACGGCGACGTTGAGACAGGAGAATTTTCCATTCATCCGGAGCAGTCGTGAATGCCTTAGCATCCCTAACAAATTGTGTCTTGTACATTGGGAAGTGTTTCAGAAGCAGTGTCGTTAGGTAACGGTCTTCACCGAGGTGCAGGAGGTTCTTCATGTGCAACGTGTCGACGCGGTTCTCTGAGTAGTCCGTAATCACTGAATTAGCGATGAACAATGGCTTGTGCGTGTCGGGAGTGCGCAGACGGTACATCGTGAAACAACCCGGAAGACAAGTCACGGAACCGAACAGGCTTTCGAAAGCTTTGGCTAGATGATGTGAGAGATAGTACTCGTAAACCTAGGCAGAAGTGAGCAATATACAAAACGCGAGGTAGCATTCCATTCTTACCTGCATCATCGTAATAATTGATTGCTTCGAGTTTGCAAGCGCCGTTTCACCGCAAGCACCAATGACTTTCTTATCATGAATCATCCTTTGCAGAGACCGTCAGTATGTACTTGAACTCGAGACACTGTAAAACTTACGCCGAAACGAGACGATTCAAAGACAGAGGATCCACAACAGTATCAGCATCAACCATGAACAAATACTCGTAGAACGTTGGGTTAACTCCAATAACATTCTTGATTTGATGGTAGACCTCAAGTTCCAGAGGGTTCATAGGAGCGTCGAAGTGAACCTGTATCATTTCAAGTCGGTCAACAAATCGGCTCAATTTTCAGGTAACATAATGGCACGCACCTTGTTCAGGAAGCGCATTAGCATCATTTGCGTGTCACGCTTACCACGGTTACCAGGCCTCGACCGTTCCGTCGGTTTGCCAACCTTAACGACGACGATGTATGGCACAACGTGTCCGGCGCATTCATAAAGCCCCGAATATACCTTACCCATATTATGCTGCTTCGCACCCTCGCCCAAGGACAAGAAGGTCAGCGGCTCAGGATCGTTATTCGGGTCTGCACCGAGAATGTCCAATACGATTCGCGGTGTAGGACGATCGTTTCCGGACCCGACAATGTTACCATCACAAATAACGAAAATGAGTTTCCGCTTGTCGTCGTACTTCAACTTCGCCAACGAGTCAATGGTCTTTCGCATGGATTCTTCGCCTTCCGTATAACAAGGAACCTGGCAGATGACAAATTTGTCGTGGTCTTCAGGTGCGCGCATAGTGCCAAAGCTAATCGCAGCAAGGAACTTGAACCCAATTACGCTGACCATCAAAATCGAGAGGGCAAGAAGGATATACGTTGCGAAGAGACATCTCGGCGAATTACGATGATCTTGTTTCCCAATGACGAACAAGTTCCGCAAGCACGTCTTCTGACGGGCAAGGACGGTACCATCGATGTTGAGCGAGTCAAGCTGCTTCGTAATGTCACCACCACCGGAGAACTTGAACAAATCAATGACATTGCTATCCATGTATTGAACGTCAACACCCGAAGGTGGAGAAAACCCATCTGGAGCTTGCACGCTAGGTGCAAAGTTGATGTAGTCCGTCAAGTCGTAGACGAGCCCGTTGTAAATCGCAACCGCCCTTCCTGATGTTGCCAAGTTTTTCACTTGCTTCCCTGTTAACCCCACGAATCCTACACGGTAGTTCCAACGCATCAGCGTCATGCTCTCGAAATACCAATCTGGACGCGAGTCATTCTTCCAGGCACGGAAATCATGGTATTGAGCATTCGGATCCGTAGAATTCTTTGAGTTTAGCGTGACGAACGGATTAACGGAACCAGAAACGCCATTGCACACAGCAGATACTTGAACCGGGAAAAGGTCATCTGCAGTAGTTCCTGCATAGTTTTCAAGAAGCTTCGATGGTACGACGTTGACGACACGTTGATGGAACGGAATGATATTGGTGAGGTCGAAGATCTCGCCACGTATGGCAGTTAACATGCTATTCGAGTCCTTATTGTGTGCCTGCAGTTCGCTGCTGCTAAAAACGTGTTCCGTTGGGCAGATCAAGTTGCCAAGAACGGCAATGATGAATGCCGCGACGAGACAACAGAACCAGATGAGCATGTTCAACGCCAATTTCTCTCGCCAAGCCTGCCTGACATCCAACCGTTTCATACGCCCACACCAAATAAGGAAGATATTCGGACACCACCAGGTAAGCAGCCAGACAAATGCAACCCATCTCCGACGACTTGACGACTCCTTAATGTCCTCGGTCGTCTCACCCTCCATTACTTCACCTGGCAATGCTTCCTTCCCAAGCAAGCCCTTCGTATCATCGTTCTGGAACATATTCCGTGACGGTGCGTAAGACTCTGAACCACCAAAGTTCGACATCGAATCGTCTCGGTTGCTCGTAAGGCGACTCTTTGCATCTAGATCATCGCTGCGAACAGAGCCTCGTTCGTCATAATCATCATTGTATAAGTCCGCGCGCATGAATGGCGACGCATGAGATACGAGTGGAAGCTGCTGGCTCGACTGACCGAACGGATCGTTGAAGGCACCCATGGGTGGCGAATTTTGCGAATCGTGGTGACCATGAGACGAATAGGGACCGAACATGTCCCCTCCACGCATATCAAGGCCTGCTTCTGCCTCGGCATCACGCAAACGATTACGCTTTTGCTCTTCGACGTCCTCAGCCCGTAATCGATCTTCAAGCTTGTGGAAAGCGCGGTGCGAAAGGAAAACCTGAAAAACAAACGTTCAGATGATCATCCCACGCTAAGTCTCAGTCAGCTCACCTTGAACGAACCGATCACAAGGTCCCGCTCTTGTAAGTCAAGAGCCGTTCGCGCTTGCGCTACTTTCGATACCTCATCTCCTTCATGGATATTCAAAGCCAGGAGATGCGCCCCATAACGATCACAGAACTCGCTCGGCGTCATGCTCACCTCAAATACGTTAGCATTACGCTTCGCAATCTCCGTCAGGCCTGCACTCCTAATTTGTCCCTTGACTGCTCGTCCCTCAAGTTGGAGTGGAATCTGTGAATCATTCGGGTTGATGCAGAATACATACCACGCTTGCGTCTCGTCAAGTGTCGAGAACAATGTGACCAGCGCTTGGCGAAACTCTCCGGCAGTGCATGGTGCTTTCCCGTCCAATAATGCATCATCATCTTCCTTCTCTTCGTCCCCTCCTCCAGGACCGTTTTTGCGCCGAACAGTCCCTTTTCGGCGTGTCGAAGGAGCACGCATCGGTTTAACTGACTGTTGCGCAGCAACAATTGTCTCTTCGTTACGCGGATGAGCTTGAGTAGCGATCGCTTTGCCACAGAAGAGGTTTCGGATGAACGAGTTGACAGAACCAGTGCCTTCTGTCCCGTGAGGTGTTGCGCCATCTGAACCGCGTAGAAGTGATACGAAATCGGGGTTGAGTGCATCAAGATTCTTCTCGAGCAGACCCTCAGAAGAGTATGTGACAGGACCATTATAGTGGTTGACGGTGAACGTCGGGAAGCCCGAGCGATCGATGCCTCCAACCTTAAAGGATGAGTGATTACCCCAGCGCTTGCCAAAGGCTTCGACCATAGTGTGATCAGACTTCTTGGGCATACGGCGTGCCTGATCATCCATGATGTGGATTAGACCTCCGGGCATGTGCGACAACAACCGCACACACTCCGCGTTGTCGAAGTACGGAATCGGGGGCACATAATGTGCGATGCCTTCCTGATTGTACTCGTCCACATGCGATTCAAACATCCGCTTTTGGATCCAACTATGGAGTTTTTCGTTTGCGAAGTTCACAATGAATTGATCAAGGGAATTCGAACGACTGGCGGAACTTGCCATGTTTTGAGGGCCTGGCAGATCAAACAGTCCAATAAAAGTGCTGAAATCATCTCGGCACAGCTTCTGGTTGATCTGCTCGTTCAACCAGCTGAAAAGGAGAGAGTAAAGTATTTTCGCAAGATCATCGCGGTTGTCCGAAGCACCATCTGGGTCAAGAAAAACAGTGCACAGCTCCTTTTTCATTAACTTCATCTTGCAAGACAGCGCATTTTCCAGTGCCTGTGGCTGTACTCCGAGAAATTCGGCTACGGTCTCAAGGATATCAGTGTTCTTAACGACAGCCGCGTCCTCATTCCGTTGTCGGTCTATGATGAAGTCTAGGTTCCCAAGATGAAGAATAGCCGCTAGCAGTTGACACGTCTGTGCAACGACCCGCTTCGACAGACCGACATTCTTCAACGCCACCTTGAGTTGGTCAAACCGCATTGCATCTTCCTCTGGTCTGGGAGCATTAGCCTGACGTGGACCCAAATAGCGGAACGTCGACTTGTCCGTGAGCTTGAGATGCTGACGCTCTTCTGCCGATGCACCTGCAACGAGGTAATAGAAGATGTGGAAGTTTCGTTCACCCGAGGCGGCACCGGCAACGCGTCCGCGTTCTAGGTAGTAGTCAAGGGTCTTGACACCACTAAGGCGGCCGCGCTCCGTAAATTGCAGCTCAGTATACTTCCCGAAACGAGACGCGTTGGGATTGAATAGCGTGCGGGCATTTCCGAACGACTCCAGGACGAACTCTGCCGAAGGAATCTGGGTCGAAAGTTTCGAACCTTTCTTGCCCGGATTGCTGACACTGAGCTCGATGATAGACTTGATAGCGAGACGTCTATTCTCAGATTTGCCACTGCACGTCTCCCCACTGCATGTAACAGTTAATTATAGCAATGACAAACGTCAGTCAATTTGACACGGCCGAGCAACCGGAAAAACTCCGGATTGAGAAAAGAAGAGTCGGGACTGACCTGAGGAGAATACACTGGTCCTGCTGGGTGCGGCGCATGTGGTAGTACGCATTGTTCGCGAGCTGGAAGATATGTGGAGGAAGATACTGCTTGTCTGGTGCACTGCTGCGATATTCTGCGGCGTACTTCATGAGTACGGAGTCGGCGTTGCTGGGCACATATTTGTGCGGGTTCAACGACACGATGGCAGATGGCCCCACATTCGTGTAGATGTTCTCATTCACGTATCGTTCGCGCAGGCATGAGACGATGATGTCGTCTGAGACGGGCGAGAGAGTTGCGAGGTCTGTTGTGTTTTCGAGGCGTTGGTGGAGCAAGGTCGAATGCCTAACAGACGCCATATTGGGCAGGAGGGCGTCCGACTACTGACCAACGGCGACCACGAGCGTTGCCCACGTCTGCGACGAGTATAGAGAAAGTGAAGGGAGGAAAGGAAAGCAAGGAGAGAAGAGAGCGGAGGAGCGATGCTGAGTGCTGTGAAAGGAGGAGGAGGAAAGGGGACACGGCTGGCTGGCCTGCAATTCCAATTTCCCACATGTTCCCAGACCGCACGATATTCCCCAATAGGAAATTCCTGCTTACTTACTCCATCCCGAACCTCAGGACTTTTTATTGAAATTATAAAGTCCCACCAGATGCCTTTTACATATGTCATCGGTAATCGATCGTATTCTCAATTGCATGTTCATTGCAGACTGAAAACACCTACAGAGCATATGGAGGAGGATGAACAAGCTGACAGGACGTTGCCCGAATGGGTCGAACTTGAATACCTCGTCCGTCACTTCCCCCATGGAATCTGGACATGCTCACAACACTGATTGATATAAAATCCATCGTCATAGCATATGCGCACACTTGCAGGTCCAGAAGCTCAAATCCACTTCTCACACCTCTCTTCTTCCTCGTCAAAAGCACTTTCATCCGTCTTCGTGGATTCCGACTTTACGCATGAAGCATCAGTTCCATCGAACTCAAGTCGGTCGCTGGCAAATGCAACAGCCCATCAAATGGGTGTCCTTGAGCTCATGAAAGCACACAACCTCTCTCTTGACCAGGTCTGTCTCCTTGATCCCAAAGCGGAAAACGAATTAAGTCCACAAGACGGAGACGGGACGTTCCAGTGGTTCCTCTTTGGCGTACGTATACAAAATCAATTCCAAACCTCAAACTTTGTATTTCTACTTTTTCCCGACTTACACAATTTTACCCTGGTTACCTGGTTGCCACGCACTTCTGGCAAGATGTGGCATGTTTATTTATAGATATTTCTTTGGGACTAGGGTATTCTAGGTACGTAGTTTCACACACCATTCTAGAACCATACTTCCTTCGCTTTCACTGCTTTTTATATTTTTCCAACCTTGTCGATGACTTATGAATTCGGTGTGTAAACAGGTGACGACCCACCACGAGACAGAACTGCAGAACTTAGGAAACTTGGCTTCCCGACTCGACACCTCGGAAACGTACAAATGACAACGGATACCGCGCTTGGCGTTACAAAGAAGGTCGTTCACGATCGAGGTTCGTACAAAGTCTCTTAACATTTTATCTTCTTAACGTTATAAATGTATTGTGTGATACTATTACACACGAATATAATCCTTTCTACGTGAATAACTAACAAATTTACTTTTCCTGTAGTAAAACTCCAAGACATACCTTACGTCGTAAGTCTTATCTAGATAAATGCCCTGCTTTCACTACTGTAATTCATAACTATCCTAACTGTATATTTACAGGACTTCCCAACAATAAGGTTCAACGCACAAGAATCTGTCGAGATGCCTTTCCGTACGTATTCTTGCTTCGCCTGCTTCTCTCGATCATCTCCAACCATCGGGAGACTTATTAATGTTGAGGCATGTCTGTAATATAAATATTAATCTGGTTAATTAGGTTACATCGCCATCGACGCTGGCAACGGGAAACGGGAACCCCTTTTGCCACCGGGTATGCGCGACCTGCTGCATAAGGACCTTGATAAAGGATTCGAGTTTTGACATTCCGGATTTGATGTTCTGCATCTCTGGCACTTTCTGTCTTCCGAGTTAGAAACACGTGCGAGTTGTGGTGTTCTGCGCGTATACACGACTAGACTTCCCCAAAATTGTGGGAAGGGACAGAAAGAAAACCCAAATACGAGTTTGGTGTAAAAATATGTATTATTATACAATTCACTTTACTAAACAGCATATTTATACAACACATAACACCAAGGAAAAGAGAACAAAGTCAATGGCTAAGGGAAAGGGACAAAGAAAATGAAATCCAAGAACGGAAACCCCAATATGTTACATACAGGAAGGAACAAACCCAGTCTACGTTACGATAGAAATAACTGGAGAATCCTGTGTAATGATGGTTCGGGAGGAAGCTGTGGTATACAAATTGATTGGAGTATATGCAATACGTGGATTGATCTTTAACAAAACTGGGGGCAGACGTCGATGATGTGGTGGTACAGATGTTTGATAATAAATTCAAAGAAAAGGTAGAGCCGGAAACGATATGACGGCATGACGTGAAAAATAAACATGAACGAACCCAAGAAGAGCGTGTGATAACAACGAAGACCGAACGACGGGAAAGAAAGGAAAAGGGAGCAGACTGGCGGGAGATATAGGAGAAAGAAAATCCGAAATAGAAACAAAGCACAAGAAAACAACGAAGCAGATAAGAATAGACGATCCGACATGGCCAAAGCAAGCTGAAAAACCAGAGGACTACCGAAGTGGCGACGCCCGATTCTCCCAGGGAGGCGTCCCTCGAGGAGTCACGCCCCTCGCAGGACTGTTTGAACTCTTTGTCTCATCATTGCCGACCTTCTTTCCTTCCATAGCTTGCTGCAGCTGCAGCTTATTCCGACAACTCGCTAATCGTTTCTTCGTCTTTTCAATCCATGTTTCAATTGTCACTTTATCTTCCTCCTGGAATGGATTACCTGCTTGCATAAGGTCGTCTTGGAGCGCATATAGACACCAGAGGGATTCGTCGTACAACGCAGCGCATTCGCTTGGGGTTCCTTGCTCGACGAGTTCCATGTGTGCAGCTTTACGAGACTAGAAGCCATGTCAGAATAAAGAATGGCACCTTGAGAAAAAGCGAGCGGAACTTACGAGCTGCAATGCTCGATCATACACTAACTGACCAAGCCATGAAGGACCTTCCATAGCTGTCTCAGGCAACCACGTCCGCACCAATGCGACTCGATCGCTGCACTTTACAAAATGTGTCGAGAACCAGTTGAGTGCTATAGACCAGACATGTCAGGTTCGCAAATTATTGATAACACGATTGTTAAGAGGAACGAACCATCATCAAACCCCTCGCTAACTTCAAGCCGTCCTTCTGGATCTCGCATCTTCATACCTTCTTGGTGTACCCTTAGTCGATCAATCCCCCTTTGCGAGAACGACATAAGTAGTAGGTATAGTGCGATGCATGCCACAGCGTTGTACTCTGCGTCGATCATTGAGGTCCGGCGGCGTTCGGTGGCACTTTCAGTCTCGCCATCGAGACGTTCGAACTTCGACGATAGGGGAAGAGGTTCTACATGTATAGTCGTGTCAGAGATAAAGTAATAAAGTGATTTACAGACAAGAAACTCACTCTGAGGTACGGCTTTGACGTACTCATACATTTCATCCGCCCAACGTGTCAATACGTCCGTCTTCTGTGCCAACTCCTCAAGTCCAGCCAATAATTCCTCTTCTAGTGGATCACGCATCGTCCCATTCGCCCCACCCAAGATCAAAGGCACCCTCATTGGAGACTGTTGCTTTTCATTGTACGCTCTTTCCACATTGCGCTCGGGGTTATATGGGTACACCGACGGTGAGCGACCAGAACCGGGTGTCGATGACCCGAAGAGCTTCTTAGACGCAATGCTAATAGCACGTGTCAGAGCACTTCCTCTCGACGGAGAAGCGGACAGTGGTGGGGCGTTTGGATTTGGCGGAGGCGGGAAAGCTGTATTAGCAGCAGGTCCTGCAACGGGAGATCCTCCGTCGGAGCTCTGTCGAAATACTTGAGAGTGCCGTTTCTCAGTGGTAGGGGAGCCACCCGCAGAAGAGCGTCTTCGGGCCGCCGTGATTTCTAAGTGATTAGCACATTGTTAGTACAACGCAAGAGTATACCCCTTGATTTCAGAGACCAGACAAACCATCCACTTTCTTTCCAAACTCGATGGCTTGATTATCACCGACCATCACATATTCGCGCCTCAAAATTCCATCTTCTTCGCTCTCGCCAGGAATGATCGATGCCTCCGTTGACAAAGGCTTCCCTTTCGTTCGCACTTCCAAAGCCAATTTCCTCACGGGCTCTGCTTGGACAGGATCCGCGGCAGTGCCGAAAGGAGGGCTAGATGGCAATAGCAAGTCAAAAACACTAATGATAATACAGAAATATCGGCAGTTTCGTACCTCCCACTGCGATGACCATTAGAAAAAGCGTCAGGTATCGGAAGCACCGGAGAAACGTTCTCTTTCTTGCGAAAGGACAACCTAGTCTGCGTCACAAGTCGGCCTTCCTTCAAGTCTTTAACGGCTGCATCACCACCTGGAAGTGGTGGCGCAATTCGATCGTTTTCTGGAATCGGCGCGTCCTGCAGTACTGCAAGCTTTGGGCGCTTGGTCACCGTTCCGATCACAACCGTCTCAGCATCTCCATGCCCAGAGCTAGAAGCCCTCGCCGATAATGGCACTACATCCTTGTCCTTCATTGGTCGGGGGAATTTCGACTTTGCCAACGCAGTGCTATTGAAGAATTCATCGTAACTTGCCCGCTGTGCTGGGAAACGTTTCAGAAGGCTGCGTATGAGTCCCTTGATATCCTGCGGTATCGGTTTGAGTTCTGGGTCCCTTTCGCCCTCAGGTTGGTCTTCGTCCGGAAATCGGATGGCCTTCGAATGCTCAATCTTCTTAAGCAAGTCAATATGATTCTGGGCACGAAATGGAGGGCGACCTGTCGTCATCTCGTACAGGACAGCACCCAAGCTCCATAAGTCGGCTTTTGCATCATACTTCTCGTATCTCAAGATTTCCGGCGCCATGTAAAGCGGCGAGCCGCAAAGCGTCTCCGCCATCATCGCGTTCGGGAGCATACGAGCGAAACCGAAATCGGCGACCTTTAGAATCGGTACACCCAATGGATGACCGCGTGCTAGTTCCTCAGGGGAAGCTGGCTTGAGGAGTAAATTCTGGGGTTTGATGTCACGGTGGATGAGATTTCTACTTCGGAGGAACTTGAGTGCCCGACCTAAGATGTCGGTAAACATGAGCATATATTCAACGACATGACTACAGTGAAGGCTCACCGAGTTGTCTCAAAAAACTCCGGACTACAATTTCGTCCAAACCTCCAGCCTTCGGATGAGGGTAATAAATTGGAGCAGCACCTGGCGACGGCACATATTCCAGTGTGTCAACCTTTCCCCTCTTCTTGATGTAGTTCGTTAAGTCACCTCCGGAGCAATACTCCATAATAAGGTAGATATTCTTCTCCGAACGCTGCGGACAACGAACCGAGTCAGGAACATATAATGTTAATGAGTACGTCGAGACTATACATACCACGATGTCTATAAGCTTCGTGATATGACGATGCGAAAGCGATTTCAGGATGTCAATCTCGCTCTGCAGGTTATCGAATAACTTGGATGAAAGCCCGCTGCGACTGACAGTTTTGATCGCAACATGTTCCTTCGTATTCTATGAGAAACCGTGTGAGACTACTTCCGTCTGGTGTCTTGGACGAATGATAAGGAGGGAAGAAATATGCACCTCGTTATACCCCTTATATACAATTGCAAAGCTTCCCTTCCCTAACTCGCTCGTAAGCACATACGGTCGGATATCTTCCTCCTCTATGCGACGCGTCGCAACTCTCTCTGCCTTCTTGTCCTGCGCAGAACTAGGTGTCCGCGCAGCAGCTGGCGGAAGGGCCGTAGGCGGCATCTTCAGGCGAAATTCCTCGCTCTAATCAAATATGCACGCGTTAAATTGCAAGAAATAAAACTACTGAAGAAAAGTAGAGTTGTTGATATCCAAAGTAATAGCACGAGAGGCAATGCGGCGGCCCTAGCTGACTGATAATGGAGTGATAGTACGCGAGTATTGCAAACAGTGACTCGGCACGGTTATGATCCAAGCACAATACGCGACACTAAGAGATACTAAGGTTGTGAGAAGAGGAAAGAGAAGTGAGATGATGATCAGACGCGAGAGAGGACGCTGCAGTAGAGTAGAGAGTCTGCCGTGACGGACCCGGAAGGGCGTATCCGCGTGACGCCACAACCGTCCAAATCAGGAAGCATAGTCATATTGTACTTCACAGGGACAGAATTTGTATTTTGCACTGCTCACGGCAACGACGCTTCAGGCCATCTCTCAAGCGAAGCAATAGTCCATGTAAGGTGACTCTCTCTGACTGATGACGTTGCCAGCTTATTCAGACTACCCGATATCGCGAACCATCCCTGGACTTTATAATCAGAAACTCATCCGCGCAAGTAGTATGAGCCTATGAGGTATACATAGCACTGAGCAGTAGTAATAGTATCAACAAGCTAACGGAGATATTTAAATTCCTGGATTGAGCATAAGAAAGCACCTATCCCCCATTTCAGTGAAAAGAATAAGAAAGGAAATGAAGCAGTGAATGAGACCGGAACGAAATGATATGTTTTACAACTGTCCGCAACAATTAATGCCAACAATACACGCCCTCTATCGACGAAAACCTTGCATGCAGAACGTGTTATGACTTTCCCTTCTCGATGATAGTCCCGAATTTCGATGGAATGTATGCGGGTGGCTTCAACTCCCCATTCATATCCAATTCACTCATGTCCGCATCTGTCGCGTTCTGTACTTTCATCATAGGGGAAGTCACAGCATAAGGCCGGAACATCGCAAACTTTCGTGCACCCTCACGGAACGTCTGTCGACCATGTCCGTGACTGGCGTTGCTGGTCCACTCCGAAGTACGGGACGATGATACCTGCGAGGCAGAGTCGCCAGGCGCAAGTGTCGGACCGCTGGGCGGGCTAAGGGCATACGGTGTGTAATGCATTTCCGAGACACGGTAATTTGGTTGGAATGGTTGTACTGAGTGTGGGGAATAGGGCGACACAGGGCTTGAGGCGTCCGTGGGTTCGAGAACGACGCGGACCCCGCTTCCTCGTCTTCGTTGTCTTCGATGGCAAAGGAACGCGATTGCTATGATAGCCGCTATTGCGACGGCACCTCCAACGACCGAACCTGCTATCACTGATGTTGCTGAGCTCTTCGCGCTTAATGGAGAGGGAGTACTAGTGCTGGCCGTCGCTAGGGCGCCTACAGTACTTGTCACACTACTTGTCGGTGAGTATGCTAAGCTAGACAAGCCATTGGGCATGCTAGTCTGGTCGTTGACCTGCTTACTTCACACGCAGGAGAGAAGTGTATTAGCTCCATCATGAATGATGGCGGGAGCATTTCAAAATGACCTACGTGTAGGTAATAGAGTCGAGCATAACGAGAGCCTTCCCCCCTGCATTTCCGGACTCAAGCGTTATCGTATGTGCAACATTATTCAGACCAGTCTTAGAGAACACCGTCACACCGAATTCGTAATCGGGGTCACCATCAGGAGCCTGTTGGAAGTATCCAGCGACAACACCGTCGATTTTGAACGTCATATCTGTGTTCCCGACTGGATTGTCTGTTGACCCAGTCAGGATACAGTTCACATAAACAGCAGTCCCTATCGGCCCATACTCGTTAACGAAACGAATTTTCATGTACACTCCTTTGGGACTTGCCTACAAAGGGTACTGACGCTGATACAAGTTGGCCATGTAACGGATTTGAATCGTTTGCAGGAAAGAAAGTCGCATCCTTCCAGGTGCCCATATATGCCTGAGTACTTGGTGGTTTCGCCGTGCACAGAGTGCATGATTGACCATTGTTCCATGATGCCTGGGGGGTATAGTTGATCGTCTGTCCATTAGTCGGGTCCCCGAACTGGTCATCGATTGTCACATTGTAGGAGCGTGCTAGGGCGAGGGGACATAAGATGGAAAGGAGTGGAAGTGTTAAGTGTGCCGGACGACGGCGCATCTCGCAACGAGATCACGGAGTTTGCTGTGGAAGATAATATGAATAATTTTCTAAGATATGAGTTCCCCCAGAAGGGCAGAAAGTAAGGCAGAGCTGCAAATGCTTACGGTGATGCGACGGCTGTACCGTGATGAGCCTTACGAATCGAAAGGAGCGGAAGGGGGGCTACAAGTATGAAGTGTAAGATAAAGAGGAGTTGTTCACCATGCTCACATGCAGCTTGCACATCACAACCTGCGTTTTCGTGGAAAAGTCTGATTACCTTTCCGGGGAAAGAAGACGTATTCATGGCAGGCACGAGCGATTTTTGATGCAACCTCTTGATGGCGATATGGGAACGACGTATGATACCAACTCAATGGTGGACTGCCGGATCAAGCGAGATTATTGGCTTGCAACCAATAAGCGCCCGAGGTCGATCCTGACGACCAGCAATGAAAAACTCCGACGAGGAGAATCGGTTAAGTCTGCTTGCCAAAATGGGTCTCGAGGAGTAGCACTACTGGGGAGCAGGCACACAAATAATCGAGATTGAGAGGACGGAAAAGGACGGAAACAGCATAGAGAGGTCAATCGTTCCGGTTCACTCACCAAGAAAGGATTATGCAGGAACGTACGGAGATCAGCCAAATTGTAATGACGCATGAAGGAATGTTTGGTGCACCTTCTGATACTTATGTGCCATGCCTATCTAGCCGTTTTGGTCGAGTGCGTAAATGACGGAAGCGAAAAAGGCCTTTGGCAGGTCCGATGAAAGCATGCAATACGTATGTGGGATGCTCACAGAATGCCCAGCAACGGCGTAGGACGCAAGTTTATGAAGACTGTCAGTCATAAAGAGAAACTGGCCAGTGATACGACTATGATGTACATTGCGGTGTGGACATCACGTTATGGTCTGGTACGTACGTCCCGTCGTCTCCGCCAGGTCACGTTGCCGTGTTGCAGGTAAGGATGGCAGTGACACTGAGAAGGTAGAAGCGCTGTGGCAGCCCGTGATTCACCTGCATGTACTTCGCTGTCTGTAATATTTTTTTAATTATAATAACCGTAGTAATTCCCAGAATATATGTGCATGGCAGCAAAAGAAGTTCTCTCACTCAACACTTGGTCAAACGCTGACTCTCTTTCAATCATAATGATTGTGTCAATGTCATTTGTGCTGCATTCGACAATAGTAATCGTGGGAAAGATCTGCGTCTCTGTAGACTCAGTAGAGCCCGAAGTCAGAGAAGCGTGTCCCTTGTCCAGCGACCACCTTCATATCGACGGACGTGTCTGTCTCGTCTCTAGGCCAGTTTGCCATCCTGTCTGCAGTGTATGTGTATATACCGGGCCACTGAGCGCGTTTGACGCGTTTTCTGTCTGTGTAGCGTCTTCAAGACGCTCAGAATAGAATTAGGAGCTACTTTCGGCAGCATTCACTGACATTCAACACTACGACATCCATCGATGGCGTCGACTCCTTCCCACAGGTCCTCTACGAGCAACCTGGAGCCTCCGCCTGGTGCGATCGACAAGGAGGAGAGGAAAAGATCTTATCGAGTGCCACCACCGCCAGCTCCGATTGATATCGTGAGTTCTTCGAGCCCAATATGTCTTTTTTCTGCGATTAATACTTAACACCACATCTACGCATCTCAATATACAGCCGGAGCCAGTTGATGCTAGGCGTTCTGCACGCCGTCCACCGTCGCCTCTGCGCAATAGCTACACTCCCGATGATGACCCTGATGAAGGGAGCCAAGATGGGTCTGATATTCAAGACGATGAAGATAGACCATGGAGTCATCATTCCGCCTCTTCGAGTCCATCAATGACCAAGATGGCGTCCAATTTCGCTCAACGTGTCGGAGCACTGGTCGGCAGCACGGGCTCTCGAAATTCACAACACCATCTTCCCTCTCAGGCTGAATTGGAAGCTGAGGCCGAGAGGGAGAGGGAGCGAAGTAGACGTGAAGCAGAAAGGATTCTAAGACGCGAAGCAGAAGAAAGGAAAGCGATGGAGGATGCAGTGTTTGCTATGATAAACTCATCCCAGCAGGAGCTCACCGCCCCGCCAGCCCGTTCTCAAACTATGGCTTCTGGCCCGTCTTCCTCTTCTTCTTCGCCGAAGGAGAAAGAAGGATGGTTTGCCGCCGTCAAGAATAAGCTCACGCCAACCAAGGAACCGTTGACTCCGGCTCAGCAAATTATTCAAGACACGAAGGCGAAGGAGAAGGAGAAGAAGAAGAACAAGGACAAAGATCAGAAAGACTGGCCTCAAACGCCGTCTAGGAAGTACAGTGATCCAGCATTTCTCAATCTCGCCAGTACTGCATCCCCCGAGCCAGTCACGCCTCCTCGGCCGGTTGCTCAGAATGGCCTTATGACACCCTCGCCAGGTCGTTCTATTGATTCATCGCGCGATGCTCCTCCACTGTACGCTCAGTTCAACAGTCAAGGGATTCTTGATGTCCCGGACACGCTCCTCATTATTGCTAGGCGCTTCGAGAAACTAGAGCGTTGGACAGTATCGCACGTTCGAGCTCTTGAGGACCGGATGGGTGACGTGGAACGCTGGCTTGTGGACAAGGAAAAGGAAAAGGAGGAGACGACTACCCATAGTGCGACTAGTCAGAAGTCGAGCTTCCATTCCGAAGATGAAGAACACGACGGTAGAGAGAATGAGTTGAACGAGATTCGCGAAGAACTTATGGAGTTGCAAGGCCGAGTTGGCGAGCTGGGGCGCGAGATGGCAAAGCTAATGACAGCACCATTAAATCTAGCTTCTGGGCCAGCACGCAATGCTGCTCTTTCGCACTCAAAGTATACTTCTCATTCAGCAACAGCACCCGTTCCTACTTCTGTCGCACTTTCGCAACCTGTAGCAACAGCTCCTGTGCAAGGTGTACCCCCTACTCCGTCATCCATTGGTCCAAGGTCGTTACCAACTGTGCCGGTGAGCACGCCGCACCAGACAACTCCTGTACCAGCACGTCCAAAAGAGGCTTCTTCACCGCCGTCTGCTCAACGTTCTTCATCCGTTCTTTCCAATGGCTCAGGTCGGACGCGTCTACCATATCCCACTGGTGATTATACCTCTCCTGCCGGGTCGATACCGACGAGGCAAGATATACTTTCCCCAACCAATTCGCCTCCGGCGTCTCTGACGGCAGCTTCACGAAAGCGGCCGATGTCTATCTCGGGCCTTCCTTCCGCCAGCTCCTCGTTTTTCACAGGAGCCTCGCAATTGTCTGGTCCTAGCACACCTGGTTTGCCCAATCGGCAAGAATCACCGCCCATCCGGGCCCTCAGCCCTAACTCAAGATCTCCTGCTGTTTCACCAGTGTCTGGTGGTCAACGCCAGCCGAATGTGAGCCCGACGCCACGAAAACGCTATACGGTTGCGCTTGGACAACCAATTTCGAGTGCGAGTGCAGAATCAGATGAATATGACTGGCGCCAGCGAGCGACATTCTCCGCTTCGCCTGTGTCTGGAGTGGGTATTTCTGGTGATAATGATGACGAAGATAGAAGCGCCGCATCCGAGGATGGAGATGCCGAGGCACGGGCCATTGGTCACTCACGAGACGATACGATAGGGAAGTCGGGATCGCTCATTGCTAATCCTCCGACGGTACCAAATGATACGCTTCGGAGAGGAAACGCGACGACCACCCCACCGAAGAATTCGCCGGGGTCCAACCGCATCCGCGCCCAGTCCAGTTATGGGCCTCCGAGCGGATTTAGTCTCAATATGCTCTCAGCTTCATCCTCGCCGAATGCCTCACCAACGCCTATTGCTCCGCTGCGCCCGCGTGTAAGGTCGAAATCAATCGATCGCATTGGGCTAGGTATTTCCATACCAAACGCAAACGGACGCTTTGTCGATCCTCTCGAGCTCAGAAAGCAGGAGCAGGAGCCGAAGACGCCGAAGCTGCCGAAATTCGAGAGGGGAAAGAAGGTACCTGTCAATGAGCTTGTCGCATTCTTTGATAAAGATGCACAGCGATGAGCGTCTAGCGTGACAGGTTTCACCGCTTTACGCAAAGTTCGTGTTTTTTCGTCGTATTTCACCTTCCTGTTGCTGTCTAGTCACATTGTCTACTCCAGTCCGTTCTTCGTCGCAAACCCCTTTCTGGAATATCATGTTCTGCTCGATTTGTGCATTTTCACTGCTTTCCTATTACTTTTGTTCGCTTCCCCTAAAATACCAAACATTGGCTCCGTCTCTTGTTCCTTATGAGTACCAAGTACTGTACCTCATTCTGTCTTCAATTCTTGTGCGTCATGAACTACGAATTACGACCCTTAATGAACACACATTCTCGGAATCTTTGCATTTCACTCGAATCCTTTCATGTTCACGAGACTTGAGGTGGCTGTCTAGGTATGTCCAAGTGATCGACTAGCGCGGCACCGATTGCGAGTCAACGGCAGGCGCGAGCACGTGCTCACGCGAATTCATGCTGCGCGTCAGCCTTGGCTCGCTCTCGTCTCTCCTGACCACAGTCCGATATTGTCCGTCTTCTGGTTATCAGTATCTCCATCTTGTGTTTTGTCGCCTCGCTCTGAATCACCCTCTTCGCCCATGCAATGCCTTCGTCATTCTTCAAATCTGTTTTCGACTCAGATCCTACAGAACCGGAAGAACTTGCTTATTCAGTCCCAGATTATGTCAAGCAAGAAGAGCCGTTAGGATTCACTGACTTTCTAGTCCCCCTCCCTTCTCCAGATGAGAAATCCCTAGACTCTCTGGAAATGTATCCGAAACTCGATACTACGATGTTAAGAACAAATAACTCAGATACGAGCAATTCATCCGCCTCGCCGTTGCTTTCTCCAGACGTGCATGACTCTGGGTCCAATCCGGACGAGTCGCCGTCGTCCTTCGGACCCGATGGTCGGACTGAAGTCGATGATGTCTTCATACATCAGATATCCCGTTTTTCGGACTTGTCACCTGTTCGAAATAGCATGACCTCAAGTCACGACGTTGTAAACGTTCCAAACCCATCCTATCAGATCCCCTCAGAATCGGTAGTTGCGAGTACCCCTCATGGTTCGGCTACAGCGAGCAATGCATCTGACAAGTCGAACCGCCAGTCTAGCCAGATCTCCTCTCACAACTCGCATACTGCTACCTCTCATAGCAGGACTGATACAGAGACCTGGATTGACTGCACTGCTCCAATGGTTTATCATGGACACGTCATCAGTATAACTGGATGGGAGCCCTCAGGGAGCGACACGGGTCTTCCCTTGGATATTGACCTTAAGAATTGGTTGCCTACTTCCCTTGGCCCCGCAACAAATAAACAGGTGCCTGATGGTGGTAGAGATAAGAACCAGAATTCAAGTTCCGCGTCACGTTCAGAGCGACGACCAACACCAATCTCGCAGGATGTAAGGCAATCATGGGGGCGCAGAGCGACGTCTAATTGCTCGCTACCGGAGGGACGCAAGAAACGACGTGCTGATAGTGCCGTTCCCTCTGAGAGAGGCAGTGTCAAATATCCACTGGTACCCGCTCGGGGATCGTCGTTGAATAACGATCCGAATTCACGCAGAGCAAATGAGTGTATTGCTGGTAATACGAGGAGTGTACAGACAAGGTGCGCGCTCGACAGGGGAAAACCAGACGCAAGGTTGAGTGTCCCTGCCTACGTGTTCCCCCAACCAGACATTGCACGTGCCATTACCCGTAGCGCCGCAGAAGAGGAACGCAAACGTTCCGTCGAGGTAAACATGCGTCTATTAGAATCTCGAGAACGTGAAGACGAAACTGAGGAGACACGGAAGCTTGTGGACGAGTTCCTTGATATACCGGATGACACAAAAGCACAGATTGTTGGATATGGCGATGGAAGAGAAAAAGGAAACATCCTCCTGAAGGCTTTCAATCCTTCCCGTTTTCCATCCCCGGCTCCAGATGCGAACAGCACAGAGAGGCGAGGTCTGCGAGCCGCGCGTTCCTTAGTTGAATATTCCGCGTCCACTCGTCGTCGTGCGTTAAATCGGTCGCGTTCCGAAGCTCAGTCCCATGTTGTTCCGCCACCAGCGAATAAGATATCAGAGAGGCGCAAACCCGAAGGACGCATGTTTTCCGAGCATTATGGAGCCTTTTCCATGACAAATGGAACTGTCAATTTGGATACGTTCCCTCCGATGAAGCGGTTGCTCGACCAAGAGTTGGGTATGCAGCGGTGCGCAAAAAGAGTCAGGGCATCGTAAGGGTGATGTGCGAACAAAAAAAAGAGTTTGATCTATGTTTTCCTTCGATGCTATCATATCCTTTCGTAAGTATTCATAATGTGTCAATTATCTCCTACGTCGTTTTTATCTCTTTTTTTTACATTCTTCATTTTTCGTTTGTTTTATTCGCTTTGCCTTGTTTATACGACTTTCGACTTTTCTTTGCTCAATATCACCAGTACGTCATGTCGATCTAGCATAAAACAATAAATCAGTTGGCTTTGATGAAAACATGACATAGTACTCTCTACTTTCGCCCCTTCCCCTTCCCAGACACACCAACCTTCTTTCCCCCACCACCAAAGCTCTTCCCTTCAAATCCGGGTCTTCGCTTAACATTCTTCTTCCCCTTTGCCCCAGCACCGCCCTTCTTCTTCTCATGTCGCATTGCAATATTATCAGCCCGTTTCTTCTGTCTCACGGCCTGCGCCTTTGCTAGCTCCTCCTTCCTCGTATCCCACTCCTTCTTACTCTTCACCTTGTCCTTTTCACGCCTCTTTGCAGCCTTGTGCAACCGTAATGCGTCGTCGTGTACCTTTGCACCTGTAACCCGTGCGCCGGCTTTCGTCCATGCGTCCCGCTCTTCCAGTTCTTTGCGCTTTTCCGTTGAGAGGGTAGCACGTGCCTCCGCGCGCTTTGTGAGCTGCTTTAAGGCTTGAGTGGGGTTGGACGAAGTTTTGATGGATTTGGGTGCAGTGGGAGCGTTGCCAGCGAGTGTAGAGAAGGTCACGTTGGTATATTTTGAGGCGTTGGAGGTATTCTGCTGGTTGGTTACGTCTGGTACGAGTAGTTGAGTCTGAACAAAGCAAGCATTAGTAGTGAATTATGACGAAAGGACAGAGACATTATTACGCACTTTTGTGGTCGGAGCACTCGTCTGTGCCTTTTCTTTGCCCTTGTTCCCTTTTTCCTTCTCCTCTCGTTCTCTCCTCTTTTTCTCCTTCGTCTCCTTTCGTCGACGCTCACGCATCGCAGCACGCTGTCGGCGACGTTCCTCCAACAATTCGTCCTTGCTCCCCGGGTCGCCATTTGCACCTTTAAAACCGTTCTTCTGTCGAAGTTCTTCCATCCGCGCTCGCAGTTTTGCACGAAGAGTTTCGATGCTGCTTGGAGCCGGCATAGGTTTGAATTCCATTCCTGCCTTTCTTCTGGCAGTTTCTCCTCCCTCGGGGTCATCGCGGTCACCATCTTCACCATCTTCGCCGTCTACGTCCATCTTCATGTGAATGCTTTCAGTGTTCCAGTCCGCTTCCTCGCTGTCGTTGTCTTCATCATCGCTCGGTGCCCGTGTTTTCCCTTTATTCTTGGATGCGGTTGAAGTTTTCTTCAATGCTGCTTCTTCCTGCAGTTCGATAATCGATTTGTTGTTCGCAGGATCGAACTTTTAAAATAAACCAGTAAGAATTTGCAAAGCGGGACGAAAATTGACATCGCATAGAACGAATACTCACCTTATCTCGTTTTGCTTTTTTACTGGCTTCTTTTGTGGCCTGCTTCGGTGCCTTCTGCTTCTTACTATTCTTCTGATATTTTGAGACCTTCAAATTCATACGACCGGTTCCATTACAGCAAGTGCATGCCAGGATGAATGGACAGACGTACATGTTCTCCGGAATCCTCTGGTACGAGATAATATTTGGCAGGAATGAGCCGCAGCAGGACCTCAAACTCTGCGTTGTGTCCCTCTAGAGAGGCTTTTAGTTCTTCAGGAGGGGTCGGCATCCCGCAGACAGTAATAATGGTAGAAAATATGGTGTTGAAGAGAGCCTCACGAGGATCTGAGCACGTGACAAACTGTAGTCAGGGACAGTGGGATGCCGTTTGGTTCTTCTGGCACTGCTATGTCTATTGCAGTGACGCATTTCATCTCACTGGCGAATGATGTAGTTAAGCGAGACATATCATTTGGAAATATCCGTCCTTTCCGCTCTTCCCCGTAAGATATATCTTGGGGCAAGTTGCGCCGCTCTGCTTTACCAGGCTTTCACAACCCCAAGCGAAGTAAACACTTTGTGAATCGCTCATGGCCTCCCATCTGATCACAACCCCTGCGCTGATCTGTGCCATAACTGGTGTGGGTCTGCTACAATCGTGGTACAGGAAGCGCAACAAACATCACCTTCCTCCTGGCCCAAGAGGTCTACCTATAATAGGCAACGTTCTGGACGTATCGGAGGACCTGGAATGGGAAAGAGCCTTTAAATGGGGAGAGAAATACGGTCGGTGCAAACATGTCTTTATTTCTATTACTATCTGACACGTCGAACCGAAGGTCCTATTGTTTATACTGAGAACCTTGGAATACCGTGTATTTACCTGAACTCGTACCAGGCAGCAGTCGACTTGCTTGACAAAAACGGGCTCAACTACTCGTCAAGGCCAAGAAATCTGGTGGTAGAGCTGTATGTCGCTGACCTAATCTAGTCTTTGCTCGCAAGAACCTTGACCTCTTAAATATATACAAAGCGAAGGCTGGACTGAATGGTCGCCAAGCTTGATGCCATACGAAGATGAGCTCCGGAAGTCGAGAAACATACTACATAGGTTCTTACAGCCGTCAGCTGTAGGAAGCTATGCCGAGATCCAAACGCAGGCAACCCACAAGCTACTTGAACGCCTTTTAGATAGTCCTGACAGATATTTTGATTCGATTCGGCAGTAAGTATGGTTCTACATGATAGATAGTGTGATACTGATATTGTGCTAGAATGGCAGCAGAGATAATCATGCTGATGACGTATGGCCACAAAGGTACCCATTTCCTCTTGCATCCCGAACAGCGGATCTAACTAGTTCACAGTTTCTGAAAAAGACGACCCCTTTATCAAGATTGTAGAGCAAGGTATCGCAGCATTTGTGGAAGCGTCAGGGTCCTACCTTGTGAACGTAATTCCCTGGTTACAATATTTGCCCTCTTGGTTCCCTGGCACAAGTTTCCAAAGGGTTGCTTGTAAAGGGCGCAAACATTTACAGAACATGATTCAGACACCACATAATATGGTGAAAAAGACGTTGGTGAGTTTACCGCTGCTGGGAAAAGGTATACTAACTTTAGTGATGGACAGATGGATAGTGCAAGTAAACCCTGTATGTCAGCACAACTTATGAACGAAAACATGGAGAGCAATGGCAACATAAAGGATGAAGCTCTTATTGCAAAAGTGGCAGGCGTTACATATTCTGGTTCGTAGCATGCAGTACTCAGTTGGTCAGGACTAAATGGAAAACGACCGGAATAGGTGGTGCTGACACGGTATGCTCTGAGGATTGATACACAAAACTTACATTTTTCTGAGCATTCCGTGTTTAGACTGTGTCTGTCATGCTTACATTTCTCCTTGCTATGGTGCTACATCCGAGTGTCCAGAAACGAGCACAAGAGGAGCTGGATAGAGTGATTGGGAGGAATAACCTCCCGTCACTTGCAGACCGAGAGAACCTTCCATATATCGAAGCTGTATGCAAGGAATGTTTGAGGTACGCTTTTATAGTTCATCTTGCATACGCGCACGTATAATATTTTCTAGATGGCAGCCTGTGACACCTCTAGGTAGAGTACTACTCGACTGGATTTATGCAGCACTACTGACACAGCACGCAGGATTTCCACATGCAGCAGCAGAGCAAGATGAATACAATGGCTATACTATTCCTGCTGGTGCAGTGATATACCCTAATGTCTGGTATGCGGAACAAATTCTGTTCATTTTTTGTCTAAAGCAGGCTAACTTTTCCCTTTGTCCTTGAAGGGCAATGCAGAGAGACCCGTCGATGTATGCTGAGCCAGAGAAGTTTATCCCAGAACGTTGGATGGCTCTGGAAGGGACAGAGCCTCCGCCAGACGTATATAAGATAACGTTTGGATTTGGAAGACGGTGAGGACCCTTCTCTCGTGGCCGTTGCTAATCCTGATCCGTCATGAATAGAATTTGCCCGGGGCGTTATTTTGCAATTAACTCAGTACGTTTTTTATGCTCATGAAACTACCGGCTGCAAATCTTATAGGGACTGCAGATCTTCATAGGTGTTGCATCTATCCTGTCGACGTTTAACATTACCAAGGCACTTGACGAGAATGGTAATCCAATCACTCCGAAAGCAGATTATACTCCACTTATTGTCAGGTGACGGTGCTCTCTGTCGCCTTGCATACTGAGCCTAACATGGATTATTTAGGCACCCGAAACCATTCAAGTGCTCCCTGACCCCTCGTTCAGATGAGATAGAAAGGGTTGTCCGCCAAGCAGCTGAGTCTGTCGAGTAATGCGATGACAGATTCATTAACCACTTTGGATGTGAGACCAAGTCGACAGACAATGCACATGCCGAATTAGTCCTTTTCAATGTAGTCATATTTATCAACAAAGTTCTGCTATAGATAAAATGAATGAATTAGTTAGCGTGTGTGTGTCACGTGATTGCATCTTGTGATTTGCGAACATGATTCAATGAACCGGATAGTCCCCATCGGCTTCCTACCAGCATCACTCCTCAACGCTTGTTGGCATTTCTCGAATCGGGCTTTGTTGCTACTGCGTCCAACTCAGGTCTCTCCTTTTTTTCTCTGACGGTCACTAATGCATCGAAGAAAATCGTCCAAAGACACAATCGAACAGGAAAACCAGGTCCTCAATAATGGTCAACCTGGCAGTGCAACTTTCCCGCAGAAACGCGAAAAACTAGCGTCAATAGCGTTTCCTAATGCTCCTGATGAGAAGGAGAATGTGAACGTCTCATCGGAGCCCCAGTCCCAAAGCTCTCCATTCAGGGTGCGAGTGAACTCTGTTCCCTCGGAACCTAATGAGCAGCAGACATCACACCGACCTCCACCACCTTCTGCTGGTCCTTATCGCACCACATTTGGATCTCTTGCTTATAGTCCGCCAAATGGATATCACTTCCCGGCGTCACCCTTGCGTAAATCATTCACTCAAGGACATGGAAGGACGTTATCGTCCTCTGGTTCATCGCTGTCCGTTTCATCCCCGATGCTTTCACCTGCACCCCATGGAAGAGGTCATCATTCTTCTCGCTCAATCAGCATGATAGGGTCTTCCTCTGCGAGTCTTAATGCTTCACCGCCCGAAGGAGTCGGTTCGGCGCAGCTTCCTAACACGCCTGCAACACCCCCAAGTACCCGGAGGCATCACCATCAGCGCATTCACTCCCGCAATCTGTCCGTCTTTTTCCCTCGTCCGGGATCCCTTCCTACCTCTTCTATCACGGAGGACACTGATGTCGCGCAGGAAGCTACCGTTACACTCAACGACTCACCGCAGTTCAAGAGTGTCCGATTGCAGGATCCGCCTGGTCCGCGACGCCTTGGGGAAGGTTTTACCTTTGGAGGAGGGCCAGGGCGAACACCCCCATTTGCATCAGATACTACGGAGGCTGAAACGCCATCAAGAGCGAAAAGGCGAGGTCACCACCACAAACACTCCTTGTCTCACAACTTTTTCTCTTTTCTCGAGCCGGGGTCTCAGATGCAAACCTCAGTATCTCCGGAAAAGCCTTGGACGCCCATGTCTCCCGGTATTGCTCCTTCAACATCGACTTCTTCCCAGTATGAAAACGGGACGGCCGTTGGTTTGACTAGCCCAAATTTGGATCCTTTAGCTAGTAGCCCACGGACTCTTCCAAAGGATGCGATTATGGTATCCGTAGTGCAATTCGTGCTGGGTGCTGTGTTATGGGTGTCGGGACAGCACAGCGGATCACTGGCCTGCACAGGTCTTGGCTACTGGATTGTTTTCGACGCTTTCGGAGTTGCTCTTCGCCACGTGTTGCCCGCATACTTGTCGCTAGAGTCTATGCAGTCGAAGACTCGTAGACCATATGGGTTAGTGTCTGCATCGCTCGATGGGATGATGGTTTGGTATACTGATACATTTTATTGTCAGTAATGCAAGGGTGGAGACACTCCTGCTCTTCGCACAGGCAGTCTATTTGATCTTTGCTTCCGTCTATGTCTGTAAAGAGGCTATCGAACATCTTCTATTGGCTGCTGGCGATGGTCACCACCACCATCCCGGAGATGAGGATATGGCACTGGATGGGTGCGTGCTTTGCTATTTTGGATATTAAGCCAAAGCTCATCGATCACATTTTAGGATGGGGTTTCCTATTCTCTTGGTACTGATTACAGTCGCCTCGCTCCTTAGCACCTGTTTACTCTACGATAACCATCGGAAACTAATTATCAGTGCGTCCTAGTTCTTCACGTTCTTTCGCATAACTCAAATCTGACTTCTCATGCAGCGAGCGGTCATAAGCTTCCTTCCTTCTCCAGCATTCTTCACCGCTCAAGGAACTTTTCGTTCTCTGCATCGAACCCTATTTCGCCCACGTCACTGATTCTTGCCAATCCATTTACTGTTGCCCCGCTACTGTTTTCGCTCGCCTTACTTCTCGGCGCACTGCTCTTACCGCCGTACGCGCTTCTGTCCAATTCTCAGCTTTGATCATGTTCGCTTAACTTCTGACTTTACACTAGACCTCAGCAAGAGAGTTATGACCTCCTGTTGGCTCTGTTTGAAGCCGTCCTGACGTTCAAGATTGCATATCCGGCTGCAGAGGTTCTAGGGACAGTACTCTTACAAACTGCTCCGCCTCGTGGTTTCCCAGGTGCGCGCATGGAGGCTTTCCTCAGAGTGATGCGCGAGGTACTTTGTTTGGTTACATTACTCTCTTTTTGTGTATCACGTTGTCTGACGCATAAATTCTCGCACAAAACAGATCGAAAGACACCCACTTGTCCTACACCTTCCTGCACCACATATCTGGCAACTCACTCCTTCTGTTACGAGCCTCCCTCCATCCTCCTCGTTTTCAACTAAATCACAGATGCACGATATCTCCTCGCTCGACGCACTTGTCGTAACACTCGAGCTACATGTGAGACGAGATACAGACGATGGCGAGTTGCTTACGCTGACGCGCTGGGCGCATGATCGGTGCCGTATTGCACTTGGTTTGGGTGTTGGTGCGAAGGATAGGGGGAATGATGGGGAGGATGGGGCGGAAATCACTATTGGGATTGTAAAAGGGTAAACCTAACCCTGGCACCTTTGCGCTGATTGGTATTGAGGGTATGTGGTTAAGTATATGTATAGTGTAAATTATTAGTTTGTACGTCTGCGGATGAGTGCACATACGCTCGGCTTCAATTTTGGTGGATTACAGTATAATCGCAGTTGTATCTACAATACTAGGACTCCCGCATTGTGCAGTGGTCCGTGCGTTATGCAAGTCCCGCAGACAGGATTGGACTAAAGCATTGTCGTGCTTGCTCACTCACCAAACCTGGCCTTGAGCAGTCAAGAAAAAATAAGCCTACTATTTATACGCGTGCATCAATTGTCTTGGATTCTGAAAGTTGTACAATAAACTCGATATTATTCCGATTCCAAGAAGAAATTATACCATACACTACAATATCAAAATATAAAGCCAAATGTAATACCGACCACGATCATGGATGCATTATCCTTCCTTCCTCGGTTCCACGTTTGTATTTCTACACATGAAGAGTATTATCACAATTGCCCACACAACATCTTCCCTCTCGCAATCTGTGCTTTACACAGACTAACCTCTGTGGGCATCGCGACTAGCGAGGCAAGGAGGATACCTGACGAGTCGGCGAACCCGATTGACCCGATTTGGAACTCGTGTTCTTGTTTGAGACGTTCGTCTGCGACTGAATTAGAAGGATTAGAAGGATTAGAGGGGTCGAAGGAAGAGGAAGGAGTGGGAGAGTGTCGATGGGATTGGTTTATTCTGTAGAAGACGTTTACGCTGTTAATTTCGAACAGGATGAAGTGAATGACGTCAGTAGTGAACAGATAAAAGATATTTGACGAAAACGTACTAGGCAAGTCCGCCGCATACACCTTCAATGCTAATCAGAACAAAAACAATCCCAGCGGCGAGGCCCTCGGAATCGGCAGGGATAAGCCCCACACCCGATTCTAGTGCAAGTATGACAAGGATACCAAATTGTACAATAGCTGGCATGGATAGTAACCGGCCTGGTAAAGGGGGAAGACCTAAGGAGATGGAAGAGCGGGAAAGGAATACGGTTGTTTGGTACACCAGCTTATTATTATGAAGCAGAAAAGTGGTGTGAAAGGAAGTTTGTAGTGATCAACTTCGCGTGAAAAATCATTTTGAAAATATAATATGCGTACCTGCCAGAGGGGGTAGTAATCGCGAATTGAATGGATTAGAAGGCTCATCAGCGGATGATCCTGGGGTGCTGGAACAGGATATACGAGCGTTGGCGCAATTCCCTAATGTACCAATGCGTTAAACTTCTTTTTTTTCTAATACAGACGACGAGACGTACTTGGTTGATCGTATATTCAAACTGAGAACGGGCAACAAAAAGGTCGATCAGTTGACGCAATAAATACCCACAAGATGAATACTAACGAGATAGACACAGGCTAAAGGATTTGATCAGCACTGCACATCAAAACACAGAATACACTCACATAAAGGGAGCATATACTTGAGCAACAGAGGTTTAACGAGTTCCCATTTATCTTGCGCAGAGAGTGCAACAGCGGCAGACTTGCCAGGAGATGCCAGTGTACCCTTGAATCTGCTGTTTTCTTCCATAGACTCCAAGTCATCTGTCTCTGGTATTGGTGCATACTCCGACGTTGACGCTAAGGCATCCGCGGACTCAGAGTCAGGAATGGAAAGGTGCAAGAATTCCTTTGTTCGCGGGAGGATGAAGAAATAAGTCAATGGTATGATGAGCGGGAATATCTGAAAGCCGAGTACTAAGGCACAGACAGCATCACTAAGATAGACACTTCGGCTTACTGCTGAGATCCCGACACCCGTGCGCACGCCCAGACTCCTCATCTCCCACCAGATGAACGCACCCACCAGGCCTGCGGCACCAGTCCCGGATGCAAAATACCTATATGGTTGTTAGTTAGTATATGACAAAAACCATCCTGGAACAGCCTACCCGACACTGCGCCCTCCAACAGACGGGGGTCGATAAGTTGTGGACCGTTGTAAGAACGTCAGCTCTCCTAGCCCTAGAGAAAAGACATATGAGATGGAAAATGCAACGAGGTCTTGTATCAGTCTGACCTGACGAGAAAGAAGCAAGGCTAATTCCCAAGAGCCGCATTTCCAAAGTGTCAAACCCGGCTACGACCTTGAACACATCCATTCAGTAAAGGGCGCCATGAATAGCATGCTGCACGTACAATCATACCAAGTGTGCTCAGAATCCAGCATCCCAGAATCCTTCTGATATATCTTATTCTTCCCTTTAAAAGATAGGGCCAACCGACCTTCGCTACGAGAGAGGGAGCGATGTTGCAGAATGCGATGATGCCCTTTGGGGTTGAGGGAGGGACGAGGTCAAGTGCTGCTGATAAAATGATGACATACAGCACTGGGACAATGTAGTCAGATAAAAGGCGAGGTGGTCCCAGCAAGAGGCAGCGCACACACACCATTATTGATTAGACCGAAGAGAAAGAAGGACAGGCCCAGTCTAAAGAGAAGTGTTCGGGTATCTGCAGAAACGTAAGTCAGATAGATTATGACATCATAGAAGTTGTTGACTGTGTACGTTTCGGCGGTTCTACGGTGTCGTCTTCTTCAAGAGGTGCGTGTTCTAAAAGGTTTTCCTCCTCGGGAGCCATTGTGCCAGATACTGCATGTAGCTCTATAAACTCGTGTTGTGATTGTGAAGCAAAATTGTTGTATGATCCGCGCGACGAATGAACCATCCAACGTAGCCGTTGCTACGTGCAAAGTGCTGATTAGAGAGGCTTTCTCGCTTCGTAGGGTTGCTAATACATGCACAGTCTGGCGGTTGAGTAGTTGCAATACCAGAGGGCGGCAAGAGACGGGCAGCACTTAGGCATTGTCGATCCGTCACGTGGCTCAAATTTACTGCAGACCTTTTTGGCTAGCAGCTAGCTCCTTCTATAAGTATGGTTGACCTACCGCTCTGAAGTATTTCTGACCATCACTATGGGCGAGAAAGCTAATGCAGAAGCAGGTCCGTCGCGGCCATCCTCTCTGTCGCTTAGAAAAAAGTCCGCCAAGGGTAGTAAGCCTTTCAAGCAACACAACAAATCGAGGGCACTTTCCGAAGCCCATGCAATCGATGCATTAGACAGACAGGCAGTGGAGTTTGTGAGCAAGTAGACGTTACTCGACGAATCATAAGCTAAAAGTTATCTAGGAAGCACCTCCTGACCTGATTAATTTCGCCGACCTGCCTGTATCCGCCAGCACCAAGAAGGGTCTAAAGTTGCCGGGCTTCGTTAAGATGACTGAAATCCAAGCGAAGAGTATACCTTTGTCACTCAAGGGAAAGGATGTACTTGGTGCTGCCCGTACGGGTAGTGGAAAGACGCTCGCATTCCTAGTGCCCGTTCTCGAAATTCTCTATCGGAAAAAGTGGGGTCCGCAAGATGGTCTAGGAGCGCTGATTATATCGCCAACAAGAGAACTAGTGAGCTCTATAATGCCCTACTTGTTTGAAATCTTGCCTTACCCTTTTCAGGCAGTACAGATATTCGAGGTGCTACGATCTATTGGAGGGTACCATACCTTCTCGGCTGGGCTTGTAATAGGAGGAAAGAATCTGAAGGACGAAAAGGAGCGGCTTAATCGCATGAACATCCTTGTTGCAACACCTGGGCGACTATTGCAGCATATGGACCAAACCTTCGGTTTTGACTGCGATAATTTACAGATGCTTGGTGCGTCTGCTCTTACCTTTCACGATTACGTAGGCCGTTGCTGACACGTGCGTCCACAGTCCTCGACGAGGCTGATAGGATTTTGGACATGGGTTTTTCACGAACAGTAAATGCCCTCCTCGAACATCTCCCTCGCTCCCGTCAGACCCTACTATTCTCCGCAACGCAAACAGACTCTGTTAAAGACCTTGCCCGGCTCAGTCTCAAGGATTCGGTATTCGTTTCGGTGAAAGAGGAAGGGTCACATGCAGCCACCCCAAAATTATTGGAGCAACACTATGTTGTTTGCGAGCTGGACAGAAAACTTGATATTCTCTGGTCTTTCATCAAGAGTCATCTACAGAGCAAGGTTCTTGTTTTCTTTGCTAGTGGGAAACAGGTATGAATTTATCATCGCATGTTCCACCGTAAATGCCTACAATTATTTTGTTCCAGGTCCGCTTTGTCTTCGAGACGTTCTGCAAACTTCACCCTGGTTCCCCCCTCATGCATTTACACGGTAAACAAAAGCAAGCCACCCGGCTCGGTACATGTGCAAAATTTACTTCGATGAAACATGCTGTTCTTTTCGCAACCGATCTCGCCGCTCGTGGGCTTGACTTCCCCTCTGTTGACTGGGTCCTCCAGGTCGATGCACCGGAAGACGCGGAGACATATATCCACCGCGTGGGACGTACGGCGCGTTACGAAAGTAGAGGGAAGGGATTGCTGCTATTATGTCCCAGTGAAGAAGAGGGGATGCTCGAGGCTTTGAAGAAAAAAGAGATAGTAGTTGAGAAGATAAAGATTAAGGCAAGCAAGACGCAAAGCATCGAGAAGCACCTACAGAATCTGGCATTCCAAGATCCGGAGATCAAGTATCTCGGTCAAAGGGTATGTTCCTCACTTTAAAAGCCTAAACAAAACTGAACCGCTCCCACTTTTCCCGCTAGGCGTTTGTATCGCACATGCGATCTGTCTACCAGCAAAAAGACAAATCGATATTCAAGATCGACGAACTTCCTGCTGAACGCTTCGCTGCGTCGTTAGGTCTTCCTGGAGCACCGAAAATTAAGTTTCTGTCTAAAGAGGCGGTCAAGAAAAGAAAGAATGCTTCGTATCTCGAGAAATCTGCACAACTCGAGAATCATCGTATACTTAATGACGATGATGAGCATGAGGATAGCAGTCCATCTTCCGAGGGAGAGCCAGAGGGCGCACGGAGTCAGAAGCAGAAAGAGGATGCATTACAACCAAAGAAGGTACGTTGCATACAAAAACACATAAATCAGGTAAAACTAACCAGATTCCAGAACGGAGTCCGCACAAAGTATGATCGCATGTTTGAACGAAAGAACCAAAGCATCCTCTCAGAGCATTATACCAAGCTCGTTGATCATAGCGCCGATGTCGACACCGCAGCGGACGACGAAGACGATTTCATCACTCTAAAGCGAGCAGATCACGACCTTCCATTCGCTCTTCCTATCTCCGCCTCTCATTCCAAACGCAAGCTCAAAATGGGTCAGTCAAAGAAAGCCATGGCTAAATACCATGGCCACGGCGAGAAATTGCTTTTCGACGACGAGGGTAACGCGCATCAAGTGTACGAGATGCATGATGTGGATGAAGAATTCAAAGATCAGGATATTGCGGAGGCTGCGCGGGACTTTGCAGCTGGTGAACGAGGAAGGATGAAGGAGGCGGACGTACAGGATAAGGAGTTGGCGCGGGAGAAGAAGAAGGAAAAGAAGAGGAAGAGAAAGGAACGCGAGAATCAAGTTGGTATTCAAGTTACATTTTGCATTTGATAAGATATTCATGGCTTAACAGGAACGAGCGGCAACGGGCACTGCCGGAGCGCAAATCGAACCCGCCGGTGACGAAGGTTACGAGTCCCCAGATTTCGACTTTATTCGTTCGGGAAGTGAGGGTGAAGAAAATGGGGAGGCACGTCCAGTAAAAAGGAGCAAGCTTGGGTTGAGGCAAGAGCATAGACGAGGAGGCACCGGTATACCAACATCATTGGAAGACGAGGAGACATTAGCTTTGAGACTTCTTGAGCGTTAATTGTCTATAATTTATTTATGAGAGGAATGGTCGTACAAAATGCATGTCTTTCGTATTGCATTGTAGATATATGAATTTAAAGAATAAAGAAATAAGGTCGGTGTACTGCCAGGATAAACTCTCAGAGTCTCACTCACGCCACTGACGCGTTTACAGTAACATTCACGCGTAGACTTCGGTTCAGCAGTCACCTTGCCTGCAGGTCCATGACCGACCATGCCACAATATCCTCTCTGCACGCATTCTTTTTGGCCGGTGTGATATCCAGCAGCTACGTACTATCGGTCTACATCTCTCGCCTCATCGCCGAGCCTCGTCCGCCACTTTGGAGAAACGATCCTGCCGTGATCAAAGCGCGTTCCTTGCTGGCGAGTGCAAGTACTGCGTTGTCTTGCGGGCTTGTGTACCTCACCGTCAAAGCTAACGTAAACGGAGATGTGTGTAGAAGTCTCTTAATGTTTTAAACTTAATGTCAGGTTTGATGACTCTGTTTTGCTCATGGTTTTCTCGTGAAGGGTACCACAACTCTTGAGTATTTGGGGATTCCTCACAAATCATTCGCACTAATCCCGGAGGCATGGAAAGCGTACTTCATTGTTCCAGCGTTGTTCTTGGGTCCATTGTACTCGACTTTCCTCGACGGAGCATTGCCGTTCCAACGCAATTGGGACTTTAAGACAGATCTGGTGTCTCGATTCACAACATGGGAAGGCATCAGGAATTATCTTATGGTTCGCTGCCGCTCTACTTTCACAAGTATCGAAAATCAAGGCTTGCTCATTTATTAGTTTTGATATGTGAAGGCGCCGATAACTGAGGAGGTGACGTATCGGGCATGCGTTTTGTCTGTATACAGGCTGGCTGCTTATACTCGAAAGACAATGATCTGGGTTGCACCATGTTGGTTCGGTTTAGGTGAGTCTAGTTTATCAACAATCCTACATCCTTTTCATCTTTTCTCTGTGCTCAGCCCATATTCATCACGGTTTCGAGACGTATAAGCGGATGGGGAAGACATCTTCGGCATTACGCACTGCACTTATGAGTACCAGTACGCTCGTTCCTTTTCTTTCCTGGACTACAACCCGGACTGATCACGCCATTGCTTCGCAAGTATTTCAATTCATTTATACCACAGTGTTCGGATGGCTCTGCAGCTTCTTGTTCCTCCGTACCGGCACGTTTTCTTCTCTTTTACTTCGTCCAGTTACCATTCCGATCCTCGTTCACCAACCATACTAACTGCGTCCCTGTTACCTTTAGGATCAATTATCGTTCCTACCATCGCTCATATCTTCTGTAATGTCATGGGTTTCCCTGCGATCACATGGGAACTCAAGCAATTTCCGTCTCATAGAATTTGTTCGTGCGACTTGTCAATTGTCCAACTTGCATCACTGATAATAATCTCTATGTGTAGCGATTATCCTCGCGTATGTTTTAGGGGTCTGCGTATTCTGCTATTCTTTGTTCCCGTGGTCGCTCAATCCGGGTAGTATATATTGGTCAGACAGCTAATCCATACACATTTTTTTTCGGGAACGTTATGAGGTACATTTAAGGTCAAGGGAAGTTTAACCCACTGCACGACGATAAAATCTGAAGCAGAAAGCAGCAGAAAGCAATTTAATTATCAGCATAGATGAAGAATGATACTCTACAAAGAGCCGTAAGACGACGTAGAACGTTTCTTTAGCATCAAGACTGATAAGACCACCTGCTGAGACTCGGACTACTGCTCGCAAGACAATCCTCTCTGAAAACATGACTGTCACAACTGGAATCTAGTCGGGATTGTTGGGGAATAAATGATGGCAATGTGTGTTTTAAGTATTTGGAGACACAGTGTATGTTATACACTCATATTTATATTACATTTCAATTAACTAGCATACTATTCCTAGTCCTCCTTTGTAGAGCTTGCCCTCTCAGTCTTGTCATGGCAGCGTTTAATTGTATCATAGGCCTTAAGAACTTCGTCTTCATTAGCAAACCCTGCCTCGTTTTTTGCAAGGGCCCAACCAAATCTTCTGCTTGCACCTTCACATTCATTGTCTGGAGGATTAGAATCGCTTGCCTGACTTGAACGTGCAGCAGTTGCTTTGGACACTTCCTTAGGACCCTTGTTAGAGGAATCTGTCTTGTTCTCGGTCGGATGGTTTGACATAATTGTATGTAGAGTGATTTATGTAGTGTAGAAACAGAGTCATTGTCCCAGTACTTTTATACTTGCCATAATTTGCAAACATGACAAGCAACTCATCATGAGCATGACTATCATATTGCAGAATATGCCTTGTCCAATCAGAAATTAACAGCAAGGTAGGCACTAGAGCATGCTATGAGTATGATTGCATATCATATTATGATATGACTGTTATGACATGTGGGAAACAATCAAATTTGCAAAGCATTATCAGCAACTGTTTCCAAGACCATTTCTGGACAAATAAGAGTAACAATTATAAATTGATTACTAGTAATTTGCTCTACATACACCTCTAGATGGTAGTAAATGTCCCAAAAATAGTTATAATTGAGTTCAAGCTTGTGTACAAAGTTTGAGTTACAGATCAGAGCCTTTGACCCACTGGCAGGATCACAGTATCAGTAGTAACATTGCACTAGGCCAACCAGCCCTATGCTATAGTTACTTACATGATGTGTACAGTACAATGCAAGAACTTCTTATCTGGTAAGAAGCAAAACTGGTTGCTAGTAAGCTATAGTGTATATAGAAAAGCAACTATTACTCATGTCCAGTATCAGCACTCATATACCATCCTATCACTCAGACTCTATTATATATGCTTCCAGAATGTTAACAAAATTTATAATGAATACTTGACAAAAACTGCAGTTCAGAAAGATATACTAACATGACAGAGTCATTTTGTAGAGGGATTTTATTATTATCAGATAAGCTCATACATGTTCATCTGTGTAAATGCCGAGTAGCTACTATGGTTCTCTTTCTATTGTGTTTATGCAGAGTTTTCATTATCCTTCTTCATACAACGTTGAAACGTTGAGAAAGACTTCTGGACATCTTCATGATTATCAAGCCCTGAAACGAACAGCATTGTCTCTTGAGTAAGTCTCCTTGCTGCCCCCTTGCATTCTTCGTCAGAAGGTCCATTATTGGTTGCATTGGTTGTTCGGGTCGGAGCACTCGCCATTACTTTGGAGGTATTATTGCTATCCTTACTAGAGTCATCCGTCCGTTTCTCAGTTGAACGCCTTGACATGATTGTGTGCAGAACAATCTATACTGAGTGTAGGGAGGAAGGGCACAGACTTCTTCCTGTTTCTCCTCTTATCTCTTACAAGCTTACAGTGGTGTGTGCAAAGGTGGGCACAGAGCAGCTAACAGAGAGTCAGGAGCATATTCCAGTATGAGTAAGGGTGTCATAATAATTAATCCCATTAAGGTTATATTACCTGTAGCTGAATTCGGATTGTAAACAAAGTTTGTGCTGCTGAGACCAAGATCTCCAGATTTGGACCAATGTTGCATTATGCCAACTAGCTCTGCGCCACATTTACCCATATGGAGGAAGGACATGATAGTGGATTGGGAGAATTCCATATCTGGTGAGAAGCAATGTTGATAGCTGGTAAGTTGCGGCAGGTTCAGGACTTAGCTCTAACCTATGAATAATACATCCTCCATCATATTTATCTCCTACTGGGTAAATTTTGCTACTCGAATACCAAGCACAACAATATCCCAAGGAATGTTTTGAACTCTACTCTCTTGCATGCTAGTGATTTGTACTCAACCAGTGACACAATAAAGTCCAGCAGAAAGGTACCAGTGCTGTTAGAAGCACTCAACTGTAATGAGCTTGCACATTTCTTACTTGTTTGTAGTCATCTCATAATTATGCCGACTCCTTGCCTTACAACAGTTTTTAATCAATTTTAGAGGCAAACGTGTGGACTGACCTGATCAACTTATCTATGTCAACCATGCATGCCTCAAACGTAGTCTCCACAGTTGTTCTGCCTCTACACCTTTCGGATCCGGGACATGCTATGCTCAGTTATTTGGGCGTATATAGGGACATGGACATCACGAAAAAGTCGCAACAAATGTAATTAATAATAGCAAATGTAATGTAATAATGTACTTATATATTAATTACAATTCAAAATTATAATTATACTTTGCTTGTAATTGAAATGTAACAACTGTATATAAATGTAATACTTATACAAGAATTGCATTATACTACAAGTGTTTTTTGAAGCAAGTTATGTTAATACCATTATTACTACAATATTATATGTGAGACATAAGTACTTAACTTTTATTATAATATGTTGAAATTGTATATAAATTTATATACAATAGTAGCCAATTAATAATAAAGTTTATAACAGTTCTCTATTACCCTTGCAAGTGTTTTATAAGAGTTCAACTTTTGTTATATTACAATGGAAGTATTACATTACTCTTGTAATATATAAGTCAGAGTGATTATACTCTTATAAAGTAAATAATTGGCTGAACAGCTGTTTATAATAGACTCATAAGTATCTTAAGTACTAGCCAAAATACGTGTACATTTATTCTCATCAGTCAACAGAGCATTTATAATAATAATATTTTAAATGTGATACTTTATGATATAAATTATCTGTGATTACGTAATCAAGGACTGAAGATCGAGAGCATATAATGACGCATTTCTCTTCGTCACTCCTTTACCTCCTACCTTCACCGTCTCTCCAACCCTCTGCCCCCAATGCTATGTCGTCGCCTCTGCTCTCTCTAGTCAAGTCCTACGCTCGCAAGCGTCCTACCAGCAGACACTCTGCCTGCAACTGTTAGACGAAAAACATTGCGCTTGTCTCTCCAATCTGCCATTGCGATGCCTGCACTGAGCCTCAGATCACACGCGATGATGCCACCGAGCTGACTACACCATCCTTCAACATAAAGCGTAAGCAGCCGGTCCACTTCATAATAACCTGCACAATAGTTGCTCATCCATCTCCTCCCAACTTTTTGTCTTTCATCCCTCCCACTCCTTGCTCCGCCGTTTGCGTTGCCTCTCCTCCGTTGTCCTTCTTGTTTTACGCTCGCCTCCCTATTTGCATTCGCATTCACGCATCCGCATTGTTGACCAACACTGAATGACTTCTTCAATAATTCCATGCATTCTTCCCGCTCTGCAGTGCAAGCAGCAATCGACGAGCACACGCTCGCGACAATGTCCATGTACAACCACTCCCAAGGGGCAACCCTCTCTCCGACCCCCGCGCGCACTCTCCTTCCCCACCCACCATTCCATGCTTGAAAACACCCTCGATGGACTCACACTGCGTGCATTTACAATCCCCAGTGCTGTCCATGACATCATTTCGAATAACGGAAGCAGCGGCCACTGCTCACACCTGTCCAAGTTGAGTCCGTCAACGCCTTCCACTTTGCCATCTCCCTTCGTTCCAGAACGTCCCAGAGATACGCTCTTACAATCCACGACTCAGTTCATGGTACCTCCTATTGGACGCCGTTTATGGAAAATAGAGCGCACGCACACAGACACGATTTCGTCTGCAGTCTGAATCAGCTTGTCCAACGCTCTGCATCTCGATCTGCATGCACCACTCACACTCGCTGCACGCCGCCACGGTGCGTCCATCTTTTCTTGCTTGTTGCCACTCACTAATCACCCTAAACCTGTCTCACAGACACAGCCTCACCCTTCACAATCTGCTCGACCTTACAACTCACACGCGTACACGATTCTACTTGCAGGGACTGAGCAACGATCAAGGCCTGGTGACGAAGACTACATCGAACAGCCCAAGAACACATTAATCCTTTATTGACACAAACTCCACTCGCGAAAGAACGAGACAGAGGCTGCTGGTGGTGCAGGGATTGGGATTGTAGAAATAATGTATTATTTACTATCTTTTTGTATTCTATAATCAAATATAATTATATTTTATTAATTATTTAATACAAATTGTAAGCAAAGCCAAAACAAGCTATTCAAATGCTTGTAATGACTGGTATAAATTGTAAGAGGATACTATACTGTTAAAATTTAATAAGTATATTCTAACATTATTATTTCAGGAGGTATGTTATAATCACTTGTATGTCTTGACAATATGTACAATTATAATTAATATCAGTAATTTTAATAACTATTCTGAATTCTTGCTTTACTTGTACTAAATTATAATTGACTTGTGAAAACCACTATCTAAGTTATTATCACTTTTACAAAATTTACAAAAAGTAAAAAATATACTAGGTTATAATCTAATACAACTGTTAAGACTTTTTCGTGATGGATGTGAAAGTTATAACATCCCCTGATGAGTAGTATGCAATCTGAAACAATCGACCATAGCCTATAATTCCACAATATATATATGTATGAATTGTAATATTAGTAATATTAGTACCAGAAAAAAGACTGTAACTATGAATATATTACTATAATTATATTTGTATTACATGGTAGAACCTATTACAAGGTGAATCTCTAGTGTTAAAATAAATCATGTTTTGGAATTTGTTTTTAATTTTCATAATAAATCGTCTCCTTCAGTTAATTTACAGTATAAAATATTGTATCATACGTACTAATATTATAAAGTAACTATAAGTTCTTAAGTCTATACAATCCCATGCTAATTAACAACACCTGTAACTTGAATGCAGACAGCTGAAAGGCACAGTTAAAATGTTTGACTACTTGTTTTACTGTTATACTACCTGTCCAGCATTGTTTAACACTTATACTATACATATTATCAAGGCCTTCAAAAGACGTACAGATAGCCTGAGAGGTTATCTGACAACAACAAGAACTACGAGGTGCAGTAGCAGCATGGCTCATGTTCCGAAGAAATTCAAGTTGTTAGCATCGGGAAAAAGTCAGATTCATTATAATACATTGTAGACTTTGTAAAAGTAATATAAGTATTGTATATACATTGCAAATAACTGCAAGATCCTTATAATTTTATTACAATGTATATACAATACTTACATTATGTTTTACAAAGTCTACAATACATTATAAGAAATGCAACTTTTCCCCAATGTATAAGGGAAGTTATATTTCCCATACATTTTTTTTGTATCTGAAAATTTCAAATAGCCAGTAGACTATTCATTTTTCTCATCTGTAGGGGTTATCTTTGATTTATAACAATGCTCAGCAACATCCTCAAAAGATTTGTTAACCTGCTTAAAGCCACCATCTCCTGCCATAGTTTGTACCATACTTATACGAAGCCTCTGTCTTGCTTTCTTGCATTCTTCATCAGTATCTCGGGTTGAAGTCGCAATAGTTGTTTCGGTCGTCTCCTTGCCATCATTGCTAGATGAGCCTGTCGTCTTCTTCTCGGTTGAACGGTTTGACATGATGTATGCAGAGTGAATGTATACACAGTGTACTAGTAAGAACGAAGAGTTCCTTCTCCTTACACTTATACCTTACTAATAATGCGCAAATATATGCTAAAATCAAGATTTCGCAAAGCATAATCGAAAGTTACTAATTCAAGTAAAATCAAGGGCCAGCAAGAGTGCTGCGATCAAGACCCAACCGATACAAACTTGGGGATAGTACTGAGGGGGTTCCAATTGCTTGCAAAGTGCACCCTACTAGGACCTGTACAGTGTTGTACTAGGCCAACTAGTATCATGCCACAATACTTGTCAATTCACATAGTCAAAAGACTAGGCATAAGCCAAGAGTTCCCACTTGCAACTAGTTTACTTGTGCCTCAATTGCAGCTGCGGCCTGCAAGTCGTGTCCCATACTGTCAGAATATTGAGAAAATTATCCTCTCGTGAAGAGAATCTTATGTTATTGCGACGAAAGTTTTGTGCAAGATAGAATATTACACAGGAGCAGAATTGTGAAGCCTATCATTCCTTCGCACATGTGGCCTGACAAATAGGTTTCGCTTCGCAAAGATAAACATTCTGTTCAGATGATATTAGCTTGATATTCATTTGTTGTTACAACGATTCCACTATTCTGTACGGTACTTTCCAAGAGCTCAGAGCAATGCGACTAACAAGAAAAAATGCGGGACAAAAAAGTAGGAGTGAGAGGAAGGGTTGAAGCATTAACAAGAAAAAGACAAGGATGCATAGAGACAGGCATAGGGAGGCATATATTGACATAGAACATATTCGGGATAAAAGAAGTAAAAAATGGTGCATGATACAGAATGGTTGGATATATGTGGTGGCAGGGCTATGGAGACAATGAACGGAAGACCTGAATAAGAATAAGTCGAATAGATGATGGACATCGGACAAGAAGGTGGGTTATCGTTGAGCAAGCAAAAGCGCGTCACGATATCCCTTCCACGCGACGTCGATCACTTCCCATATCTGGGCGTTGAGCACGCCGAGTGAGCACGCATTTTGCCATACTCCATACACACGCATCGCGTTCGAAAGCAACGATGCACCCGTATACGTATCCGCAAGGTGTTTCGAGAGTTTCGAGTAATCGCCATCGGTAGGGGGAATTGGCACGAGTTGTTTCAGCAAATGCATGGCGTTCTGCGTACAGAGGAATTGTACCATCAACGGGAACGTTTCGGGGCTTGGTATTGCAAAAGGTACGAGTGGGACAATACGCTTGCATGCGTTAGGCTGCGAATCGAACGGTTCGAGTGAAGGTGGCCTTGGGTTTGGTAAGCGTGGTACGCGCGAGCAGAACGCTGCCAGGACTGGTGCGTGGACTGGTACAGCAACCATCTTGTGCAATTTGAGATTCTTTTGGCAGGAATGAACCATGAGCATGTGCGAGGGGATATGTTCTCGTGGTACATTGCTGGGTACGCGTATATTGACGAACTGCGGGAGCTCGCAACTGTGTGTCGCTTGAATAGGCTCGCAAACCGCGTTTGCGACGGCTGCAATGAGGCTTAGAAAGCAAGACGTCAGACCATCGCTCTTCCATGTACTTTCAGGCAAATTGTTACTCACCTGTCACCGTTCTTAATCAATTCTCTACGAACAATCTCAAGACCCTTCAACGCCAACTGGGACGCATGTGCAGAGCGGTTCGCTATCTGCGGCAAAACATCATGCAACTCTGGGCGCTGGAGTATTTCTGGCATGCGCGAGGCAATTATGCAGTTTGCAGAAACTCCACCACCGACGTGAGTAATCTGTGCAGGCTGGTCGGTCGAGTCGTCGCAAGACACATTGTAGCTCGTGGGCAGCAACATGCGAGGCTGGGACTTGTCCTTCGCATTGCATTTAGGCACGGGCGACAGGCGGCGGACGCGCTCGCGACGATGGCCCATTGCCTTCCGAATAGACACACCGGACAAGAACGTGTCTTGCTTGATTGGCTTGAGGACGAGCTTCCGTCGACGACGCGCAGCGTCGGCGAGTGCGGAGGGTGAGGTCTTCGCGATTTTCGAGCCCATCGTGAGCTTGTTAGTTTTCGAGAGCCGGCTCGCTACAATCATCGTTGAATTGGAATCGAGAGTGAAAATTGGCTAATTCGCCTAGGTCTGAGGGGTGCAGATAGGTGGTGAAGCAGAGCAAAAAGCGTTGAGGATTTTATACTGGCCGGAAACAGGCCACGGAGATAGCCCACAATGTCGTCGGGAACAAAGAGGCAAGCGAGCATTCTGGGAGGCCACTCCATATTTAAGTACTTCGTTGAGCTGGTTGGCGTACTCGATGATTGCTTCAAGTCGTGGAGGTAAACAAGTGCATACACGTCCTTACTTGACAAATATGGAAGTGCGTAAATAGTCGCCAATATGGACTCACAGATTAGCCGAGCCTGCCTCGGTTCCCAATTGAGCAACTCTTGCTTGCTGCTGACTGTACATATTCCTATTCTACTACCCGTCGTTACCAATAAATTCATGTCATCTGGGGGACTAGAAGTCTGGAAGGACATGGTTCGGACTGCTAAGTTTCTTTTGTGGCCTGTTCATGTAAAAACGCTCAGAGTCAGAAGAAGGTCGCAAATGCCTGCTCTAACGTAAGCAACTAGGAAGATTGCCACCAAGCACGATTACTTTAGCAATACCATCACACATTACGCCTTCAGCGCAAGACGAACACATCTGTTTGTGATAGGAATTTGGTGTACGTCCTGCATGCATAGGTAATAGAGCATATATTGTATTGTATGGATATGGTCTACGTTCAGTAGTTTGAAGTACATGATACTGTTTAGACACATTATAACTTCCACAATCGTGTCCCTCTACATACCCAAGCGACTGAGCACATTCCGAAAGAGTATAAAGATAGAACAACCATGGAGACCATGTTTGAGGCGTACATGCTCGACATGGATAAGTTGATCAGGCCGGTTAACACATTTGCCTTTGAAATTAAATGGAATATTTTATATGAGCGATAAATGCTGCATAAGTTGCGAGATGTACATACGAGTAAGAAAAGCGCAAGCCCATTACGGTTGATCGCCTCTAACAGCGCTGGTGCCTTCCTACTCGACTTCATGTCGTCGCTTGGAAAGTACGAATCATGCGCGGAGGAGGTAGGGTGTAGAGTGTTTCTTGAGATGTGGTTGGACTGGGAGGTTGAGGGGCGGAGTTTATCTAGTAGGAGGTAGAACATGATGAAGGATGTGTTGAACGCTGCGATCCAGATGACGTAGGGTAGGTTAGCCTGGATGGCAAGTCAATTTAGTGTCTTCTTTGAAGCTCGACGAGACTTACAAGTCTCCTAGACACTCCTCCTCCGATATCCGTTAAGTAACATACTCCGAGAACAGTCCACCAAAGTAGCGCATATGAAAATAGCTCGAGGACGGTCTTGTCATCTTGGCGTTTCCATGTTTTCGTTCTTTCCTTGGTCTCGTCCTTGCGTTGAGAAGCTTTCGAAGGGGAAACAGGTGACGTCGATCCACGAAGTTGAAGGCGTAGTTTATGTTGTTGCTGTCGAAATTCTGATGGCGAGGGCGGGAGGAGTAGCGTGCCTACAGAGAGCCCCAGAAGATGAATCGCGAGATATCCTGGTGATTTGTAAATTTTGAATGAGGTGGTCCGGGAATATGGGAATAATGAATGCAAACCTGTGAGCGAAACCAACCCTTCCTTATTGCCGCTTATAAGATTCGTACGAGACGCGTGTAAGGCAAAGTTTTGTAGCGGAGTTAATGACAGGGTGAGCTGGTGAGCTTTACAATACATAACGTCAGATTGATTAGCTGAACTCGTTGGGACGAAAGTGGACTCACAGAGAGCTACCAAGAATCCTAGGAGTGATATTGGCAAGAGGATTATCACGGGATGAAGCAGAACCTCGAGCACCGGAAGGAGAGCCATTGTGAAAAAGAAATTCCAGTGGGTTCCATATTCTGATTCATGCTCCTAACAAAAGAAATTACTGTTCAGAACGAAGACATCATCAAATTAAGAGCTCTTACAGGATATTCCGTGCCTTTCACCGAGATCACTCGGACGATGCCGAGGACGAAAAGCGGAAGTACTTTCTTCGACACGTAAAGAATTTTTGGTACAGCCGGCGCCAAGAGGCACGGTGGTTGTTTAAGGAGTGGTATTGCGGAGACGACACCTTGGGAAAAGACGAACGATCCCACTCCGAGATCCATCTACCTGATTCGGTCAGCATCTGCTCAAGCAGCACAACCAACAAGCTCACCAATGACACTCCGAACGTCTCGCACTTCGCCAAGGAGCGCGGAAATACGGGAAAGTCGACTGCAAGTATAGCGAGGATTGTCATGAGCATCATGTGTGCTCGGTAGACCGTCAAAGCTGGAAGCGGTGCTATTGGTATACTCTCATCGCTTGATTGTGAGGAAGAGACTTGTTGAGGAGGAAAGCTCGAGGAGTGCAACGGGGACGGTGCTCGAGAGATGGATAGTGGCGATAATGGAGGCTCGTCGTCTTGCCTGGACGAACGGAAGAACAGTAAGACAGTCGGAACGAGGAGGATAAAGGACAGTAAGAGAGGGAAATCTGCAAAGAGAGTCATGGACAAGAGGAGTGGGAGGACTAATACTGTCCATTCCAGTAGCAAGTTTAGTGAAGATAGATGTGATTGCAATGCGGTATGGAGTGCGATGGAGCACTGCGTCGGAATGGATCAGGACTTGTAGGGTAGGAGATATGTTTATGCGCGGGGACGTACGAGGGCGACTGCGGAGACGAGGTTTACATGGGTGATCGACGAGCCTGTGCCGTCCGAGACGAAGGCCTCCTTTGATGCCTTGTAGTCTGCCATAGACTCTCTAGAGGAGAAAACGGGGATCGACGCGGGCTATCGACGTCAGATGGATCACCTGATGGGCACGTGCGTCTCCTTTGTCCCAGTCCGCTGCTTCTCAGCTTCAGTTTGGCCTTGGACTGAGTCCGAGTGTCGTTCCACGATCAACATGGTGGCCTCCCCGACTGCAACCCACATGCGCAACGTCATTGAGATCGATGAGATCCTGCGCACTGTCCTCCGCTTTTGCGATAAACCAGCTCTAGCACGTCTCGCTCGCACTGCTAAATTATTCTCAGACCCCGCACTCGACGTCCTCTGGGAGAACCTCGAGTCGTTTACCCACCTCCTCAAGGTATTCCCTCCAGAGCTCATGTCATGGCACCCAACAGATGCTACCGCACAGCCTAAACCTGTCAGTATCCTCCCACTACCGTCTTTGTCCCTCAAATAACAGAGCCGTCTCCAGACCGTGAATCATCTCATTGTTCCTCGAGACTGGAAACGCTTCTCACAATACGCACGACGCGTGCGGACTTGGGGTCCAGAGGACTTGGCTTACATTGAAGAGCCACTGGTGGATCATATTGCCTTTGGACGCGATCCTGGGTTTATTTTGCCTCGGCTGACGCATATGGAAGTGACGGCCACAACTGTCTCTGGCGTCCATCTTCAAACCCTCATGCTCTGCCCGTCGCTCGAGTCGGTCTCCATTTGGAATGCAGATCCGAATATTTATGCCACACGTTCCATGAACACGTTCTTCCGCACTCTCGCAGATCGCTCCCCGAAATTGAATAAGCTCATCGTGCATTGGGGAGACGGCGCCGCTATCACCCCGCCATTCATGGAAGGCCTCATGGACGTGTTCTCACAGGAACCTTCAGAGCTCAAGTCGGTCAACTTATGGACTCCGAACTGCGTCGATGCGAAAGGATTTTCGAGTCTCGCACAGCTCCCTCACCTCACAACTCTACATCTCAACCTCATTGGGAACACCAACTTGCTCGTTTCGCAAATCGGGGACAATTCGACAGCATTCACTTCTCTACAGAACCTCTTCCTTGCTGGAGAAACCGAGGGTTTTTACAAAGTCTTCAGGTGTTTTGGCTGCTCATCGTCCATGGTCAGCCTTGGCTTCAGCGTACGCGAATATCCCAAGTCTCGGGATCTGCGGCAGCTTTTCGAGGCTGTTGCGGCAAAATGCCCTTCTCTACGTCTACTTCAGTTTAATGTACCCAAACAGGAGATTAATATCCAAATTGCGAATAGACTATACAATACGAATCCTGAACTATACCATCACGACATGGAGGTCCTCAAACCTCTTCTTACCATGCGGAACTTTGCTGCTGTGCACCTCGAACTCGGCGTACCACTCTATCTCACGGACATGGACCTGTTCCATCTAGGTGCTGCGTGGCCGACGATAGAGGTTCTTAACTTGTGCTCGGACCCGTATTGCGAGCGGGCTAGGACTGTTAGGCCTGCAGCCACAATAGTTGGACTTCTCGCTATCACGGAAGCCTGTCCGTCTCTCCAGCATTTTGGACTTTTTCTAGATTGCAGTACAGGGATATCGGAGAACACTATCGCGAGCTCGAACGTCGCCTCGCATGCACTCATTAACCTGGACGTGGGGCGCTCGAGAGTATTGGATCCTGCGCTCGTTGCGGCGCTGTTGAGTGGGGTGTTCCCGTCTTTGAAAGTGTTTCAGTGGGCTGGGATGGATAATCATAACACGACTATCAACATGAATACGGACTCGACGGAGAATTTGGTTCAGGAAGGGTATGCAACTGGATGGAGACAGGTGTTTGATTTGTTGCCTGTTTTTAGAGCTGTAAGGGCAAATGAGAGACGCGCGAGGACGTTGGCAGTGGAGGAAGGAAAGGAGCTTATGGCCGTGGATTGAATTTGATTTCTTGGATGACTTGCGATGTCCTTTCGCTTGCGTCATTGAAGTTCTCTGGTCTACAAGCATTCTCTTGCATTCTTGGATCTACGATTTTTATGTGCATCGGATATGGATTGCTTCACATGGTACTTTTTTTTTGCATTTTCTTGATCTTGTGTACTTTCGGGATGATTTACAGACTGGTATTGATTATGTACTAGTGGCCATAGAAATATATGTATTGAGACAAAAGAAGCAGAGTGCCATAAATATATTGTTAATCTTAAATAAGCTGCGTACGTGGCTGTACACCCGACTCGTCCGTCTCTCCTCATCATCCCATCTCCCATTCCATGCTCTCTCTCTCCTCCCATCCTCGCCTAACAGTCTCCGCGACACGCGAATGGGTCGACAAAAATGACGCTGCTTAGTGCCTCCGCCTCTTCTTCAACTGCAACTGCGAAACAGAGGCATTACGATAACTCGTCTGGCGCGCTCAGCACCAGCGCCTTCACCAACGACAGTCCTAGCGCGAGTGGTAGCACCAGTACCACCACGTCGCCGTCACCCACTCCCGGCCAATCTTCTGCATCAATCCAATCTCTGCCCCTTCCTCATCAACACCCGCTAAGACCACACGGTGTTCGCGCACACCTCGCAGAGTTCATCCCGCTCCTCCCTCGACATGCCTTGTTCAATGTCAAACTCACGATCCATCAACTATGGAACGTCCCTCTCGTCGGTGGGGAATTTAGTGTCAAGTGGAAATTCCACGGTGTGAAGCGACCCAAAGCGGCGCGTCATCACGGACACCATCTTCATCATAACACACATGGACATGGACATGGACATGGAACCACGAGCGGGTCCGCGACGACGACAACGACGACGAACGGGAGGGCAACATCTGCCACTGATGATCATTCGATTTCAAGTGGGCTGAGATTAGTAAACGGACTCGGGAAGGGAAAAGCCCGAGAAACCCTGGATACCGATCATCCATACGAACACGAATCATTGACGCCATCGGGCGCATCGATGCTCTCCATCCCGTCGACGTCGGAGGACTCGTCCTCGGCGCCCGCATCTCCACATGCCACGTCCTTCGACTTATTTCCATCAAGCATTCCTGGCAATCACGTTAATCTGGGAGAAGGAAGCCGAGGAAAGGATGGGGATGGTGATACAGCGGAATTCTCACAAGAGGCGCGAGGTCGGACACCGTATGTCGCGCTGCGTGAGCATAATGTGAAGTGGGGAAAGACGATCAACGTCGTGGTGCAGATGAGTGTACAGCGGGATACACAGGACCTGCAACCTTGTGACTTGAAGCTTGTGGTTGAACAGGTATGTCCGTCCTTTCCGTTAATTTGAAATGTCCACAAGTATATCTGCTACAAATATAATTACGTCCCCTTTATTACACCATATTCAGTTGGATGTATTCTGGCTGGATTGCTGATTGTTCTCCTTGATAGTTTGCCAAACCTGGCGATGCGAACGCACCAGAAAACCCTCGTCTGGGAGCTGTCTACCTCAACCTAGCCGAATATGTCGACAAAGGGCCCATCTCCCGTCGCTACCTCCTTCGAGAAAGTAAAACAAACGCAACGCTCCAACTGACGATCGAACTCACGCACGTCGGAGGCGAAGGGACCTATAAAGCTCCACCATTGCAAAAGGGTGAAGTGATGGCAGGTGTAGCGACGTTGTTAGAGAAAAGCGCTGTGGGCAGCGGACTGGGACCGCTTTCGGTTTCGAGGCCTTCGTTGAGGCCGCATAGGAGGGCAACGGATGGAGGTTCGAGAACCAGTTTGGGGTTGCAGACTGGAATTGGGACGGGTGGTTCTAGGTTAGGCAGTCCTGTACCGACGCTGGAGCCAGGTACGGGAGGAGGAGGAGGAGGAGGAGGAGGAGGAGGGAAGACTGCGGATAATATCATTGAGGCGATTTTTAACCCTGTACCGACCAGCTCTCCGTCACCGTCGCCGTTTACGTATTATGTCCCTCCAAAAGCGCGACCGATTGTTTCGCCTTTGCCTCTCTCTACGAGCACTTCTGGCGCGAGTGTGAGCGCGGATCCACAAAGCTCGGACGTAGATGCCGATACGAGTGGGAATGGACTATTGGAAGACGGCCGACCGCCGAGTATCGCTCCCTCGACTACGACTACGACACGTAGCGAACGGTCTATTGCTACGTCTGCTTCGCGGGATAGTACTGGCGAACAACGCGAATCGCGTCGATCGAAGTGGTGGAAGAAGCTTACGGGTGGAGATGGGTCGCGTGCTGCGTCTCCTCAGCCTCAACCTCAGCCGCCGTCACCTGTTCTTTTACACTCTCCGGTACTTCATGCATATCCGAATGTTAAAGGTACAAATGTGTCGGTTCGGTCGTCCCCTGATTTACTGACTAGGCAAGTCTCCGAAGGCGCTGCGCGAGGTGGTGAAAGCATTGAGGATGAAGAACACCGTGCCGCACCACAGATCATCGTGAGGAGTCCACCGATGAAAGGAAGGACTTTGAGTGAGAATGAGAGTGGAAATGGGAGACATTGAACCCAGTCTAATTCTCGTTTTTCTTTCTAACTTTCAACTTCCTTTATTTTCTCTTGGGTTATTCTGCAGATGGGTTTTCACAATGGTTTTCTTGACGTTTGACTTTTAGCAAGATTATTTATTATTTTTCGATGTTCTCTCGTCTATATTTCTATATCCCTTTTCTTTTTCTCTCCTTAGCGTTTTGTTTCCTCTACGATTTGATTTGTTTCGTTTCTCTGCGTTATCGTACACCGTGCTTGCTTTTCTCTTCTTTCTTTTAAAGCAATCGTTTGTTTAGTCTTGACTTATCCACTATTCCTTTCTCTTGTCTTGTGTCTTTTGCCGTTGAGTTGTTTATTGCCCTTTCGTTTGTGCCATTAGTTTTTTTTTTAACGCCGTTGTCATGATGCTTGCTTGCATATTTCTATATCTGCTTGTTTCGGGCGTGATTATTACACACTATCAATATCGCTGCCTACACCACCTCTACCTAGTCTTTATTAATGTCAATTCTATGACTACTGTTCGGGATACTGACTAAGACGGAGGCGAGAGCGTTGCTTGTACTTTACTTGATACTTGTCTTTTGCACACTTGAGCGAGAATATACGACCCAAAGTTACTTTGGCTCCTTTCGTCGGTGTTCTCAACGTCTTTGAGTATTCTTTCTACACTGTCAATCGATAACAACGTTATGTTTGCAGAAAATTTCCCAACTTTATCATTGAAGTATTAGTGTTCCTCTTTCGTGTTTGAGGAACATATGTCTTGTTTGGCTCATGGAGCGTCGGCAGGCAAGTTCTGATGATTTAGCATGTTTACACTATTTCTCTCGATGTTTGAGTTCCATATTAGCTTTCGTTAACAAGCTGCTGGGTGGAGGAAGCAAAGGGTCAGATTTCTGCATACGCTTGTTGTTCTGGCACCTCCGTGGTGTATACTGTATATGTTTAACAACGATCTTCCAAGCAGTAGGTTGATTCTTATTGTGAGCACTGCAGAAGTACATGCGGCGGAGATAGGATCTGTCAGGCATATGAATCTGGGCTTAAGCATTACGACTCGTCGAACAAAAAAATAGGAAGGGACACACGTAGGTGAATAGACACGCAAGCGTCATGGATTTCACAATATGCGTTTTGCATAACTCTATCGCTCCCGTCGCCCGCTATTCCCTCCCTTCTTTTCCTCCTCCACCGCTCTTGTGCCACTGTCTTTCCGTGCACCTTTTTCTTGTATTGAACGTGCTGCTGCTGCTGATGATGATGCTGAGGGACGAGCTTTTTGCTTAGCTAAGAGATCTAGAGTCTGTTGAGCTAGCTTCTCCTGTTTCTCGCGTAGCAGGAGCCGGATACGCATCCCCTCTGGACCGAGGAGTTCGTGTCGCGTTTTGAGGATGTATTGGTCTAATCCTCCCATCTAAAAAAATATAGCAAGGTAAATCAAGAAAACATTATTCGTTCAATAACGAGAAGAACGAAAGGAAAACGGTAATTCAAGGCGGACACACACACACACGAACCTTTTTAATAGTTTTTAACGCTCTCGTCGAGACTTTCAAGGTCAGTTCTCTGTCGAGTAGTTCGGATCGGAGACCCTTGCGTTGGATGTTAGGAAGCCATGTGCGGCGTGTTTTGTGCTTGGAGAAGGGGACGTTATTGCCGAATTGGATGAGCTTGCCGTGTAGCAGGCCGGTCTGAGCGCGTTTGAACGGCATGCTGGCGAGCTGGGAAAGGCGAGGGAGGGAGGGGAGCATGGTGTCTTGAGAGCGCGATACAATACGATTACTGAGTAGGAGTACGAGTATGAATGAATAATTGAATGAGAGCGAGGCACGTGACGTATCATTGTCTGTCTGCTGCATTCGCAAAATGTCTACCTTGACCTTGGCACTCCTCGTTCAGGTGAACCATTCGTTCCTTACCATTCGTTCCTTGCCATTCCATGCCATTCCTTTGCAGAGCTCGTTATCCTGCTTTCGCCAAAGGCCAATTAGCTCAATGAAGCATCTTTCATAACCCATTTTAAGCAATTTGCAGCTACTAGTAGTCAGTTCAGACCTCACACCTTGTGCTACATATTACTTTCAGTTAGTCTGGCGCAATGTTGCTACTTAGCCTCCAATCAGAACTCTGGATCTTAGAAGCATAAACTTTGCATCCAGTCCAAATCCCACTCTGAATATTTGCTTTTCATGGGTGCGGAATGTTAGATCTATCGGACAAGCTAGTGCGTTTTGCCAAGACCTACAACATTTTCTGACTGTTAGTAAATGCACAGTAGCATGATCTTAGCTTGACTTTGCATTCTCGAGAGTTGCAAATACTGCAACGTTTTTATTCTGTATGCACTACCCGTTGCCTGTGCCAGGCCAAGTCAGGTCTACTATGTAAGTTCAGACATGGACTGAGACACACTATTCCTAGACAGTTAATATAGTTGGAATTTGCTTCACACAATGTTACGTTGATAGCAAACACTGTGCCAAATTACTCTAATCAGAATTTTATATGCTAAAAATTTGGGCCCCGATCGGTCAGTAAGTTGTAAATTTGCAGCAACATCACTCTGTGCTTGGATATAAAAGCTGAGAAGAAGGTGCTTCATTACACTACCCCACATCCAAGCATGTCTGAATCTCAAAGCAATTCTGCAGACGATAGAAAAAGTTCAGGCTCAAAAGGTACTACTAAATACTTTGACCCAAAAAAGGGTTGTGAAGAGAAGTGGACAGACTACAGAAACGCACTCTCAACTTCTGGTGCCTTTGGTGATGTTGATTTTATTCGAACCAAGCAAGCTTTCCAGGACGCAGCCGAGTGTGAACAGCTTAAAAATATGATTAATAGCAACATAAAGGAGAGTGCAAAGCACGAGCAGAAGCAATCACCAGAAAAGGGCAAAGAGGAGAAGTAATAATAATGGAAGCTACTTTGGCTGTTTCATGAGTACTAGTACTGTATGTGTAGAGACAGACACAGTATAAATCATACGACAGAATAATCCTATACTTGTGAGACTTCTGAGCTTAAGTATTTGAAGTGCTGTGTAGGTACAGCATGTGACAATCATGAGACAAGGTCACGTGGACTCACGATGCCTATTGACCATTATATTTGTCGTCGTTGACGGTAAGCGGCAGTATATGGGGAAACCCTTGCAACTAAGTCGTCTTCCCAAAACTTCGCGTATACGAACCGTCAATGTACTGTCAGCTTTTACTCGCATGACCGTGCACTAATGCCCCTTATATAGTTTAGACGTACGACGCCGGGGGCCTTGTCTCGTCTCATTGCACCCCACTCGGAAAAAACAGAACCATTCCAAGTCATTGACGAGTCACATCCATGGTCATCTAGGCATCCAAGAACATACGCTTCTAAGCTTCCTGGTTATCAAAATGCGTTTATAAAAGTGCGCGCATTCCCAAAGGCGCTGTTGGGACAGCCGGAACGACCATACCCTGATGCACTACCATCTGCCAGGAACACCCCGTACGGAAAAGATGGAAGACTAGGAGGAAATAGGAGGACGATCAACATGTCGTTGATGTTCATCATGTCGAAGAAGGACCTGCATAAGTCGGCTGTTGTGCGCAACCGCATCAAGACGAGGGTTAAGTCGGCCATTGGGATGGTTGTGACGCGTGGTGCGACGGTGGAGGAGGCCGAAGGAACGGAAAATTTAGTACAAAGTGACGATGACAATGGAGAGAAGTGGATTCTACAGGGTGCGCTGCTATGTTTCAACGCTTATGAGGCTGGCATACTCATACCGATTATACACAGATTGGACGTATGTGTTCATACCGAGCATAGAAGTGTATCGCTTGCCATTGACGGCTCTCGTTTCGGGGATCCAAGATGCACTTTTGAATATAAACTCGAAGTGCCGTACTCTGGAGAATGTTTGGAATCTGGAGGCTCTACGTCGACCAAACGCGCAGTCCACGTCGTCTAATCTGAATGGTGTTTCCAAGACTGGACGAGCTTCGAGAGGAAGGTCTCGCCAATCTTTGGATGCACTTGCGCGGGTAAAAGCGTTATTAAAACCCTATGCATCATTAGATTCGATACCAGACGAAGATTTACTTGGCAACGAAGGAGACGAGGTCGATCTTCCTGCGAAGCCCTCTCCAACTTCAAATGGTGAGCCGAACACGCTGCGTAGGAGGCGACGGCACTCCAGGGACAGCGCAGGATTGGAGGAGGATAACCTCACAGGAATAGATCATCGACGACACGCAAGGAGAGCAGACATTGACAGGGAGGCGAATATTACGCGGGAAAGCGACAATAGCCCGAGTGCGATACAGGCAATTTTCAGTCGCAGGCCAATCTTGAAGCCTGTTATTCCGGAGAAACGTCAGCGGCAGAGGAAAGAATGAAGAAGTGGCTGCTTTTATTCCTTCGGATCGACCTTTGTTTCCTCCAGAAACGACGTTCGTGGGTGTATATCATGTTGGCCATGGTTTTTTTTGCTCAGCACAAAGTTTGTTTCTTTTTTCGTGCCCTTCAGGCAGTCCCGGTGGGGTCTTATTCACAGGTGATGGAATGACGGCGCCGGCCGTACGAATCGCCAAATGCATGATGCTTGAATTTGCAACTACATCCCACATCTATTATGCACTTCCAAACGTTTGCCGTAATCCGAGAGTCAAACAATTTCTGCTCACATCTATGTGCTCGTCTTCCCGTATAATCCAGAGTTATTCGTACCTTATCACGATGATAGCCTGATGGTATGTCCCGAGCCATCAAGTTATAAACACATACCTCTGGAAGTCGCGTGCCAATATATTCACAGTTGGGACTTGTGGTCGTCTGTCGTCGGTGTGGTACTGCAAGCATTAGTGGTGGCATTCGATTGTATGCTGTCCTCCCACTCCGCGTGTCGGCTCACTCTTCGTCATCTCAGTCGACACGGGCCTCAACAAAGGGGCACTCAACACCGGTTTTTATGACTTACCAATCCGTCATTACTGGTGTAGACAGAGAACAGTTTGCTGCGCAACAACGTTGCTGTCAACTACTTTGCACATGTTTCAGATATAAAAGAGTGCTGGGACGCTGCCTCTGCTAGCATCATCTGTCTTCTACATACATATCATGTCTAGTCACCAAGAGAAGAATGCTCCTCCTAGCGAGGGCCGGTCCAACGAAAACAGCTCAACTAGCAGATCTGCAGGGCATGACGGGAAAGATCCAAGGACAAGTACAGACAATAGATGTGCGGCTGTTGATGCAGATTACCATAGGGAGTTCCTCAAGACTCAGGCAGGGATCCCGAACTTCGGCTCCTTCCTAGACGCCTTTGGAAAGATGAAAGATTGTCACTCCCCGCCCCAAAAGAAAGAGGAGAAGTAAGATATAGAGAGTAGCCTACTTGTCACTCTGCTTGTTCTGTCGGAGTAGGTAGAAATGCATGTCATGCCACACAAGGGATGTAATAGATTAATTATACTTTGCAACAGCTGTAGTGTGATAGATGGTGCCCAGAGTGAAATCGTGATGAAAGATCATCGCAAAGTAGTACTAGTATTTGTCATCTGCAATATATCTCTAGTCATGTGCCTAGCATATTCAGGTGTCCCATACTGATACAGTGATACTCAGTAGTAGTTAGTACTTGGTTGCGAGGACTGCAGATAGTTTTCGACTGTATGCTGTTCTGCCCATCGTGTGCCAACTTACTCGTCATCTCAGCCGACACCGGCCTCAACAAATGGGCGTGCAACACCTGTCCCTATGACTTCCCAATAACAAATCAGGTTCGCCTGCTATCGACTGCGATCTGTCATGTCTCCCTCGTTGCCTTGCTTGACATATAAATTTAGATGACATCGCGTGAATGGCTCCAGCGCAAGGCTGTGGATGATGTCCTGGGTGGGGACGCAGCGTGGAACGACGCGGACTCCACGACCGGTGAGTGTTTCTTATCGAGTCCGACTTCGGGTTTGACGTGCTTGCTTATTTGTACATTCTCCTCCTCTTCAAAGTCGCATGTCCCAAATGTGACAATGATCGTGCATACTTTTATCAGCTTCAGATTCGTTCCGCGGATGAGCCTATGACGACGTGTAAGTCAGCTTCGATTATCATCTAATTTACGTTGTTTACTCATGCCGTTATGTCTTTTTTCAGTTTACCGGTACGTTTTTTTCTTCCATTCGTGCCGTTGAAATGCGGGACACCACTGAGAATAAATCCCACAGATGTACGACGTGCACTTACCAATGGAGGGAGGGTTGAGCTTGCATCTGCCTATTTTACGAGTCTGTTATATTCGTGTTGACGCGGGTGCACTTGGACTGCACCCGCAGCTCTTCATAGTTCCTGTCTCAAACGAGAAGGCACAGAAACGACGGAAGAAGCTTGATGATCAGCTAAAAAGGAGGGACGAGATGCGATGTTCAGCAGCCATCAACACCGCCTTTCAGAGTCAACGACAACCGTTGTCTTGTGGAACGACGCGTATTGCCAAAAAGAAGTATTTCTGGCTTCTTCTGCGTGTCTACTCTGGCTCGCCTGTGCTGTTGCATATGTGCTTCTCTTTAACAAGATCAGGACTGCACCCGTGTGACCTTGGAGCGCGACGGACTGTGGTATCTTGGACGCGTTCTATCAGTTGCCATCCCGCTTGTGTCTGATTATGGAGTTACATGAGAATTTACTTGCTGCGACATCGGGCATACTGGCGATCAAGTTGTTAGACTATCAAGGAGGAGCACCAGTATATAATGCTGCCTCTGGGGCTAATGGCTACCGGCAGTTGAGTTGATCTCTTCGCATTTCTCTTCGTGTTCGTTTCGCCGTCGCCTTTATCTTCTCCTCACGTCGACTCTGCGAGTCTCTTTCGTCAAGACCTTTTACAATGTTCTCTCGTTTCTCCGTACTTTCTCTGTTGGCTGTACCAGCCGTGTTGAGCTTCTGCGTGCTTAGCGTACTCTCAGGTGCGCTAACTTCCTTACTTCTCGCCTTGGTCTTGTTCACACATTCCTTTCTTTTGCTTGTTCTATACAACTGCAGCGCCTACGGATGCACAACTTGTGCGCCGTCAAGTTGGCAACCTACAATGCAACCTCGATAGGCTAGCGATCGTCACCGCCCTTGGACAGACGAAGAATGACGTGAACAGCCTCGCCTCTGCAGGTTCCAGGTAAGTACATGCTAAAAACACGTTTCTAAATAATTTCTATTCCATTTAATTGCGTGTTTGACCTTCTGACGTGTCTTATTTCCCCTTACAATGCATTTTAGTGATTCGTCCGTTACCTCCGCAACCTCAGATGCCCTCACAGGGATCAACAGCGCACAAGATGGGATTGCTACCATCGCAAAGGCATTGATTTCTGGACAGACTGCCCCCGCTGATGCACGCGACCAGGTCGGTCAGGGCCTTACGACTGCACAGAATGCGTTGAATGGAATCACTTCGTGAGTTCTCCAGTTCCCTCTTCCTTTCTTGTCTTGCATCTTCTTTAGATTGACGGTATTGACGGTTGTTGATTGATAGGACGGACCCTAACGTCACGTCGGCTCTCAGCAAGGCAACGGGTGATTTGAACAAGGCTATCACGGCAGGCCAGGGTGTCGTTTCGAACTGCAAGTGAGACCATCGAGGAGGTGGAGATCAGCATGAATATTGTTCTCCGATTTTGTCTTGGACTGTACCTTGGGACTATGTTTGGACAGGGTTTAATGTGATTTTTGTTTGCTTGCCTCTCCATTTGGGGAATGGACAAGGCGATTATGATAAGTCTAAGAATGAAGCAAGCGATCTGCTCAATATCATATGAATATTAACAATATAAGGCAAGGCAAACGCAAGCCCTCATGAATCTCAGTTATTCGCTCGCTCTTACTAACTGGCGATTTGTATTCCACTTGTAACTCGGGAGAAGAACCTAAAGATATGTGTAACGGAAGCAATAGCAATAGCGATATTATCCTAATAATACACGCAGCAAGGTATGACAATGTACAGAGTGACTTCCGCCCGAGACCCCATATTTCTGTTCCCTCGCACGCCGTACAGCCCTATCCCCAATTTCCCTTTTCTCTTGAGGAACTGCGTGTCATGACCGTTTAGTCTTGCCTTTCTTTGCCTTCTCTGCGTCTTGCTTCTCCTTTTCCTTAAGTTGACGTTCTTTCTCGGCTTCTCGCTTTGCGAGCTCGTGGGCTGCGTCGTTGAGGCCTAAGCGGTTGCGTGCGATCTATATATACAGTGATGATGGTTGCGCAGGTGAATTGATTTAGGCGTTTCATATTCGACGGAAATGAAAGGACTTGCCTCAATTGCGCAGAACTGAGAGCAGTGTTAGGGACTGACGTTAAGGATACATCCGACAATTTACAAGGACAGAGTTCTGACATACCTGCATACGGGTTACTATAAACGTGTCTTAGCAAATGTTCAACATGGTGATAAATGAGAAGCATAGCTTACCGAAAATTGTGTTCTTCTCCCCATATTCATCTCGACAGTCAGTGCGAATGAGGGAACCAAAGTTGTAGTCTTTGACTTTATCGTTGTACGCCTCGATGAATTCACGCCAGCGTTTCTTGCCATCCGGACTCTTCATCCATTCTTCATTGAGTTTGATTAGGCCGTCATATGGCTCTTTGACGAGCTCGGGGAATTTTTCGGAGAGGTCATTGAAAATTTCATCGTCGATTCTTAGATAGAAAAGTGCCATTTCAATGTGGAATGTTCGAGAAGCTGTTAGAAGTGATGCAGAGGGACCTCACTTTGTCAATCGCAGCTCCCTTGGCTGTACTTTCTCAAGAAGGTTCCAGTATACCTAAATTAGACGTGAACCATGAGAAATGATGTCCGGTCAGACAGACATCAAACGTTCAAATGGCGCACCTGGGCGTGTTCGACTGCCTTGACAGCGAACCTTTGAAAGCGGCACAAGGGAGAGATGAGGAGATGTCAGCGCATATAGTGAGCAAGCGACTGACTGTTTCTCGATCTAACGCGTGGGAGAACGGAGGATGAGGGTGCATGAACGATGGATTGGAGTGAATGTTGGGCACACCTCGACTAAGTTTTGGGCGTTGTTCGGGTCGAACTGAGTGCTCATGACGAGATGGGGAGACTCGTGAGGCAGGTAGGAGAGAGAGTAGAGGTGGAAGAAGGCGCGGCGGTTGTGACGTGGTATGCAACTTTCACCTCACATCGGGCA